TGGCGGCGTAGTGTGTTACTGATGGTAGGCTTTGTTACTTTGGTCCCAGCTCTCTGCAGGTCATTCACTAGGTCCCCCCGTGTGGTTCTGGGATTTTTGCTCACCGTTCTTGTGATCATTTTGACCCCACGGGGTGAGATCTTGCGTGGATCCCCAGATTGAGGGAGATTATCAGTGGTCTTGTATGTCTTCCATTTCCTAATAATTGCTCCCACAGTTGATTTCTTCAAACCAAGCTGCTTACCTATTGCAGATTCAGTCTTCCCAGCCTGGTGCAGGTCTATAATTTTGTTTCTGGTGTCCTTTGACAGCTCTTTGGTCTTGGCCATAGTGGAGTTTGGAGTGTGACTGTTTGAGGTTGTGGACAGGTGTCTTTTATACTGATAACAAGTTCAAACAGGTGCCATTAATACAGGTAACGAGTGGAGGACAGAGGAGCCTCTTAAAGAAGAAGTTACAGGTCTGTGAGAGCCAGAAATCTTGCTTGTTTGTAGGTGACCAAATACTTATTTTCCACCATAATTTGCAAATAAATTCATAAAAAATCCTACAATGTGATTTTCTGGAATTTTTTCTCTCATTTTGTCTGTAATAGTTCACGTGTACCTATGATGAAAATTACAGGCCTCTCTCATCTTTTTAAGTGGGAGAACTTGCACAATTGGTGGCTGACTAAATACTTTTTTTCCCCACTGTATGTATTCCGAGTATATCCACATCACCATCAGACCATTTTATTGGTATGGTAAACCGCATGGTAATGTAAAATTATAATTTTTTAGTGATCCAATACGTAATATAGTACATTTATCATAATTTGGTTGTAATCCAGAGAGGTTAGAAAATGTATCTAGATCCTCTATGACGCTGTGGAGGGATTCAAGTTGTGGATTTAAAAGAAAACAACATATCATCAGCGTACAATGACACCTTTGTTTTTAAGCCCTGGATTTTTAATCCCTTGATATTATTGTTGGGTCTGATTTTAAAAGCTAACATTTCAATGGCCATAATACATAGATACAGTGGGGGAAAAAAGTATTTAGTCAGCCACCAATTGTGCAAGTTCTCCCACTTAAAAAGATGAGAGAGGCCTGTAATTTTCATCATAGGTACACGTGAACTATTACAGACAAAATGAGAGAAAAAATTCCAGAAAATCACATTGTAGGATTTTTTATGAATTTATTTGCAAATTATGGTGGAAAATAAGTATTTGGTCAATAACAAAAGTTTCTCAATACTTTGTTATATACCCTTTGTTGGCAATGACACAGGTCAAACGTTTTCTGTAAGTCTTCAAAAGGTTTTCACACACTGTTGCTGGTATTTTGGCCCATTCCTCCGTGCAGATCTCCTCTAGATCAGTGATGTTTTGGGGCTGTTGCTGGGCAACACATACTTTTAACTCCCTCCAAAGATTTTCTATGGGGTTGAGATCTGAAGACTGGCTAGGCCACTCCAGGACCTTGAAATGCTTCTTACGAAGCCACTCCTTCGTTGCCCGGGCGGCGTGTTTGGGATCATTGTCATGCTGAAAGACCCAGCCACGTTTCATCTTCAATGCCCTTGCTGATGGAAGGAGGTTTTCACTCAAAATCTCACGATACATGGCCCCATTCATTCTTTCCTTTACACGGATCAGTCGTCCTGGTCCCTTTGCAGAAAAACAGCCCCAAAGCATGATGTTTCTACCCCCATGCTTCACAGTAGGTATGGTGTTCTTTGGATGCAACTCAGCATTCTTTGTCCTCCAAACACGACGAGTTGAGTTTTTACCAAAAAGTTATATTTTGGTTTCATCTGACCATATGACATTCTCCCAATCCTCTTCTGGATCATCCAAATGCACTCTAGCAAACTTCAGACGGGCCTGGACATGTACTGGCTTAAGCAGGGGGACACGTCTGGGTCTGCAGGATTTGAGTCCCTGGCGGCGTAGTGTGTTACTGATGGTAGGCTTTGTTACTTTGGTCCCAGCTCTCTGCAGGTCATTCACTAGGTCCCCCCGTGTGGTTCTGGGATTTTTGCTCACCGTTCTTGTGATCATTTTGACCCCACGGGGTGAGATATTGCGTGGAGCCCCAGATCGAGGGAGATTATCAGTGGTCTTGTATGTCTTCCATTTCCTAATAATTGCTCCCACAGTTGATTTCTTCAAACCAAGCTGCTTACCTATTGCAGATTCAGTCTTCCCAGCCTGGTGCAGGTCTATAATTTTGTTTCTGGTGTCCTTTGACAGCTCTTTGGTCTTGGCCATAGTGGAGTTTGGAGTGTGACTGTTTGAGGTTGTGGACAGGTGTCTTTTATACTGATAACAAGTTCAAACAGGTGCCATTAATACAGGTAACGAGTGGAGGACAGAGGAGCCTCTTAAAGAACAAGTTACAGGTCTGTGAGAGCCAGAAATCTTGCTTGTTTGTAGGTGACCAAATACTTATTTTCCACCATAATTTGCAAATAAATTCATTAAAAATCCTACAATGTGATTTTCTGGATTTTTTTCCCTCAATTTGTCTGTCATACTTGACGTGTACCTATGATGAAAATTACAGGCCTCTCTCATCTTTTTAAGTGGGAGAACTTGCACAATTGGTGGCTGACTAAATACTTTTCTTCCCCACTGTATGCCGATAGTGGACAACCTTGTTTTACACCTCTTGACAGTTTAAAACTTTCTGAGAAATAGCCAATATTTACTGTTTTACACCTAGGGTTACTATACATGATTTTAACCCATTTTATAAGAGATTCTCCAAAATTGAAATGCTCCAGGCATTTATATATAAACTCCAGTCGTACTTTATCAAATGCCTTTTCAAAGTCTGCTATGAATAGCAGGTCTGGTTTCCCAGATTTTTCATAGTGTTCTATTGTTTCCAGTACTTGCCTTATATTATCTCCAATGTGTCTTCTATGTAAAAAAACATGTCTGATTAGAATGAATAATGTCCGACAATACCTTTTTAATTCTATGTGCTTTACATTTTGCTCAAATTTTTGCATCACAACACTGAAATGTAAGGGTCCTCCAATTTTTTTAATGGACTGGATCTTTATGTTTCCCACTTGTATCCTGTTTCAGTAATAATGAAATCAGACCTTCTTCTTGAGTGTCTGATAATCTACCATTTACATTGGATTGGTTAAAACATGCTAATAACGGTCCTCTGAGTATATCAAAAAAGGTTTGGTACACCTCGACTGGTATGCCATCCAACCCTGGAGTTTTCCCGGACTTAAAGTATTTAATTGCATCCAGAAGTTCCTCCTCTGTAATTGTCTTTCTGTATGGCTTTTAATTTTACATTATCAATAGAAAAAAAAATCCCTACAATTAGCTTCAGTTAGAGGAGATGGATGCGACTGCAAAGAAAACATATGCTTAAAGTACTTATCGTTCCTTCAAAATATTGTTTGGTGAATCATGGGTGACTCCGTCATTTGTAACCAGTTTAAGTAAATTATTTTTGGTAGCATTTCTATGTTGAAGATTAAAAAATAATTGCAAGTTTGTTAGCACAAGCTTCAGGCTGGACCAAGTTGATAGTTGTCAAGTTCCTTGCAGACAGGCCATGTGTAGCCAATGTGATTTATTTTTAATCAGGATATTTTCTACCTGCAGGCTGCAATGTTTTTATTTGTTGGCTTTATGTAGGCTATTTTTACATAGTTGGCAATGGCAATAGAAGTTACTATTAGATTTGTATAATTTTCATTTAGATTTAGATAGGGGCAGGGATGATCCCAGAGCTAATTCTAACAATGGTTTTGAGATACGATGACTTTATTATAAAATAAATGAAACTGTTCCACGGAAATGTGCATCTGAACTGGCACGCAGATCAGTAGAAATGGTAAGATAAATTGGCACTGCAAATGGAAAAGGTTGCCGACCTCTGGTGTAGCCTATTACCGGCAACTTCGGGAGCTTAATGGCAGAATCTGTGAAGGCCAGCAGCAGCGGGAGGAGGAGGTTCGGGAACAGGTTTTTTTCTTCTGGTTAGGCTATCTTGATCTCTGGCTCCCTCTTGAGTCATTTGTGTGTCTTAAATATTTAGTCACAGTGTGCTTAAAGCATCAGACAAGCTCAGTAGCCTACATATAGTTGATTTTATTAAAACACATATATGGAAAAAAACACGTTTTAAAATTTTCGGTGGGTGAAAACAGAGTTGGCTCCTCTTTTTCCCCAATTGGTAGTTACAGTCTTGTCCGATCGCTGCAACTCCCGTACGGACTCAGGAGAGGCTAAGGTCGAGAGCCATGCATCCTCCGAAACACAACCCTTTTCCAAGCCACACTGCTTCATGACACACTGCTCGCACCAATGTGTCAGAGGAAACACCGTACAACTGGCGACATGAGTCAGCGTACATGCGCCCGGCCCGCCACAAGGAGCTCCGCGTTAAATGAAAGGGGACAATAGATGTGAATTGTTTTGCTCTCAAGAAAAGGGCGCCATTGAAAGGAGTGATTACTGGGGTAGCAGTAAATGTGAAACTTGACCAACTGAAGGGGAAGAGTCCAGGTGTTTGTGATGCTCGTTGTTTGGTGCGACACAGACAGGGTGGCGTGATTGGTGAAACAGAAGAATCGTTGTCTGTTCTTTTGAGTTTTGATGTTGAGTTATCCCGTACAAGCTTTTGTGCCGAATACATTACGTTGCTACAGGTGTCAAGCTCATGGACATGTGGCAGCAGTGTGTAGGAGGGAGGTTCCTAGGTATGACAAGTGTGCAGGAGACAACGGAATGTGTAGCATTGGGGAAAGTAGTGGTATGTGTTAATTGTAGGGCTGCCCATGGGGCTGGGGATCAGAAATGTCCGGTGCGAGAGAGGCAGGTTGAGGTTTCCAGGGTTAGAGTAGTGCAGAAGTTGTCTTATGCTGTAGTGTAAGGGAGTTATACTCCAGTCTAGTAGGTGGCGGTAATGCAACCTTTATTGGATGCCAGCCGCCGTTAAACATCATGGAAGAAGGAGAAGAAGTATGTGACGTCAGCTCGATGTTGCTTCCGGGTTTGCTTTATTTCCTCGACGGTCAGGTAGATTCTTTGTTGATTTGAGTTATTGGATATTTATTTCAAAATGAACCGTATTTTCGGTCGAGGAAAACCGAAGGGACCACCACCAAATCTCACAGACTGCATAGGGAGTGTAAGTCTCTATTGACATAACTTACAGAGCAGGTTTCTATGACAAACGAAATAACTTGGCTTGCTGGCTAGCTAACGTTAGCTAACTAGCTGGACGACAGCTGATTGTTCCAGCAACATGGTAGAAAGTTGTGACAGCCCATAGAAGACCTATAGCGCATAAAATACTGTTTAGCTACTTAATGTTATCTTTAAAGTTAGTTTGATTAGCCTTGTAATAGTGTCCTAGTGACTTAGCTAGCTAATGAGTTAGATGAAGAAAAAAAAAAGACCAATCGTCAATAGGGAGTTCAGTAGGGTGATGCTGGTTTTCCAATGTAGGCTAAAAGGTGTTGTTCCAACCAGTTTTACATGTTTGACCAAATCAGGTATTTAGCTAGTGCCATTGACTGTAAACATTGAAGGAAATGTAACATTGATTATTTGATCATTATAATAACTAATACATGCATTTAAATAACATTTTCTGATACCACAAGTTCATTACAAAGTCTTCAGACTCTTACAAGATCATTGAAGTATGAAAACAGTCTGCCTGGCTAACTCTTGCCCATTCTTTCTCTCTTAAGGTTGACTCACGAGCGGAGTCTATTGACAAGAAGATTGCCAGACTAGATGTTGAACTGGTCAAGTACAAGGATCAGATGAAGAAGATGAGAGATGGCCCTTCAAAAGTAAGATTGAACCCTACCCTGAGTGAAGCAGGCTGTGATTTTAGACAGATATGTTTACCTAAGTCATTATATTATACATGTAGGCTAATGCTGTTATTGAACAAAACACAACAATACACAAGTATGGTCCCACTTGTTCTCAGCAGTATCTAGCTATGTCTGATGTCACGTGAATTGTTTCCTGTTAATGTTTTCATCAGAACATGGTCAAGCAGAAGGCGATGAGGGTACTGAAGCAGAAAAGAATGTGAGTAACTTATGAAGGGAGTCTGCCAACGCATCAATAACCTCAAATCAATCAGGACAAATATCACAGTAACCTAATGAACCACATAAGTAGCAGTGGACTGTCACCAAAGTCAGGATATGAGTGCATAAAAACATCTGTATTGATCATTTCAATCTTGTTCTTTTTCAGGTACGAGGGCCAGAGAGACAACCTCACACAGCAGTCCTTCAACATGGAACAGGCCAACTACACAATCCAAACTCTCAAAGACACAAAAACAACAGTAAGGGGCCACAGTAATGTACTGACTGTAGCACTCAGTCACAATTTACTGTAGTTGTCATGCCAGGCTGTTCTCTGGGTTAAAAATCTCAGATTTTGCATTATAGGTTGATGCCATGAAAATTGGAGCCAAAGAGATGAAGGCGGCATACAAGAACGTGAAGATCGATCAGATTGAGGTATTTGTCTTCTTCGAGTCTTAATGCACTACAACACCATTTGGTGGTCTAACGTAGAAGTGCAGTAGAATTATACAGACCCTCGTCTTGAAAGACTCAATATATTTCAGTCATCTGATCTGGGTCATATTCATCCAGGTAAAGTGAATGGCCTATTGTGATTGAGAGATGTTTGGGTTAAGAGTTCCATGTTTTCGTGATGCAGGATCTCCAAGACCAGCTGGAGGACATGATGGAGGACGCCAACGAGGTGCAGGAGGCGATGAGCAGAAGCTACGGGACGCCGGAGATCGATGATGATGACCTGGAAGCAGGTCAGTGCTTTAAGAGTATGACAAAGCCACAAGGAAGACATTACACTGAACGCAGTACATAACTGTAATTGTGTTCCAACACAGTTGGTATTGCTCCAGTACAGTACAGGTCTATATTATAACATAGCTGTAGGTCAATAGATGGCATCATTTCCCGCCGCTCTACAGAGAAGTTTTGTTTACTTCAGCACAGTGATACAACAGCAGTCAATGCAGTCCTTATGTCAATAGTCTGCGTGTGGCTGCATGTAATAACTGTGCATCAATGGCTGTGTGCGTGTGATCTCAGAGCTGGATGCCCTGGGAGATGAGCTCCTGCTTGATGATGACAGCTCCTACCTGGATGAGGCCAACACTGCCCCCTCCATCCCAGAGGGAATACCCAGCGACAGAGCACCAAACCGGGTACACATATCTCTCTCTGACCACTGTATTCTTGTTTACCCAGTTTAGTCTTGAATAATTCACTGGAGTATTATGTTAAAATGCAATCACAACTGACACTGTTTCATCAGTACAGAAGACGGATGCATTGTTCGAAGTGTTCAGTTTTGTTTTTAGGACATTGGATGAAGACACATTCTGCACCTATTTAGACATAACTGGAGTTTCCTACAAAATTGTAATTTGTCTGTTTTACAGGATGGAGTTCTGGTGGATGAATTTGGCCTGCCACAGATCCCTGCTACATAATGGATGGACAGCAGGCAGAAACCAATGGCAACACTCCAAACCAATTTTTTTTTAATGTATCATACCCTTTTTAAAACATATACACTGAGTATACCAAATATTAGGCACACCTTCCTAATATTGAGTTGCGCATCACCTCCACATACCCAACAACCCCCCCCCCCCAAAAAAAATTCATTCTTTAACCTGTCTCCTTCCCTTCATCTACACTGATCAATAAGGGATCATAGCTTTCACCTGGTCAGTGAAAGAGCAGGTGTTCTTAATGTTTTGTATACTCAGTTTACATCCGACTGACCTACATTACATGGTGGTGGACAGAGAAAAACAACTTGCCTTAATTAGGTTCTCTTGAATTTAATCATTTATCAAAAATGTAAATCAATAATCGATAGTGATGCTTGGCTATGTTCAAAATTCTTGTTCTTTGTATGAACAAATTTACTTTTTCCCCCTCCAAGGTGATTCTTGGTATTTGGTTGTTCTAACTTTCTACTGCAGCACTGTGTTGCCTACTAACAATAAATATACATGTATTATATATTTCAAATTTTGCCATGGCGAAGTCCATCATGGTGGATTAAAGCAAAGGAGAGAAACAAGACTAAATAATACCTTTAATTATACAATAGAACACGTAGTGTGTAGAATTACAATCACTCAAAAGCAATAAATACATGATTTGTTGACGGTATTCATATAGTTGAACGATATGCTTTCTCTTCCGGTAGAAATGTTGGACAATGTGGCACTTTGAAAAGTCAAAAACAGTGCCCAAACTGTATAGCTCACAGTGTTATAGCTGTATGGCAGCAACAAAGACCTTTTGTGCCAGTCATCACCAACTGAGCCTGTAGCTGAGGGGGAAGATCTTTTTGTGAAGATATTCAACAACCTCGGTCTTGTTCCGAAGCTTCTCAAATTCATAGTAAGGAATCTACAAAAACAAAAGACTTCTATTAGTAACAGATGGAGCAAAGAGTAGATCCAACTGAATACAGATATGCTCTTTCTTGACAGTAGACGCCTAGAGACAGGCAGAACACTAGCAAAGGGGCTGAAATCAGAATTTACAGCATTTACATTTGAGTCATTTAGCAGACGCTCTTATCCAGAGCGACTTACAGTTAGTGAGTGCATATATTTTTTTCTTTTTTTCATACTGGCCCCCTGTGGGAATCAAACCCACAACCCTGGCGTTGCAAGCGCCATGCTCTACCAACTGAGCTACACGGGGCCAGCAGACAGAACACATATAATTTACAGCAGACGGGACACTCAAAAAGGTCAAAACATCAGTCAAACGTGGTATTCAGGGTTTCAGCATGGGTTTCTGACCTGAACAACTTCATATCCCAGAAGCCTCAGGTGCCGCTGCTTGATGGCCTCTTTTCCCAGCAGCTGTCTTGTGTTCACAGTGAACCTCTTGTGGCCGTCAATGCAAACTGCTATCCTGCAAGTACACAACAAAATAAGAGTGCATTAATAAAATAGCTATAGTACAACAATTTGATCACCTACAGTGCATTCAGAAAGTATTCAGACCCCTTGACTTTTTCCACATTTTGTTACATTACAGCTTTATTCTAAAATTGATTAAATTATACTTTTCGCATCTACACATAATACCCCATAATGACAAAGCGAAAACAGGTTTTTAGAAATGTTAGCAAATGTAAAAAACAGAAATACCTTATTTACATAAATATTCAGACCCTTTGCTATGATACTTTTTAATTGAGCTCAGGTGCATCCTCTTTCCATTGATCATCCTTGAGATGTTTCTACACATGTCTATATAAGGTCCCACAGTTGACAGCGCATGTCAGAGCAAAAGCCAAGCCATGAGGTGGAAGGAATTGTCCTAGAGCTCAGAGACAGGATTGTGTCGAGGCACAGATCTGGGGAAGGGTACCAAAACATTTATGTAGCTTTGAAGGTCCCCAAGAACACAGTGGCATCCATCATTCTTAAATGAAAGAAGTTTGGAACCATCAAGACTCTTCATAGAGCTGGATGCCAGGCCAAACTGATCAATTAGGGGAGAAGGGCATTGGTCAGGGAGGTGACCAAGAACCAGATGGTCACTCTGAAAGAGCTCCAGAGTTCCTCTGTGGAGATGGGAGAACCTTCCAGAAGGACAACCATCTCTGCAGCACTCCACCAATCAGGCCTTTATGGTAGAGTGGCCAGACGGAAGCCACTCCTCGGTATAAAAGGCACATGACAGCCCGCTTGGAGTTAGCCAAAAGGCACCTAAAGGACTCTCAGACCATGAGAAACAAGATTATCTGGTCTGATGAAACCAAGATTGAACTCTTTGGCCTGAATGCCAAGCATCACGTCTGGAGGGAACCTGGCACCATCCCTATGGTTAAGCATGGTGGTGGCAGCATCGTGGAGTGGGGATTTTTTTCAGCGGCAGGGACTGGGAGACTTGTCAGGATCGAGGGAAAGATGAACGGATCAAAGTAGAGAGAGATCCTTGATGAAAACCTGCTCCAGAGCGCTCAGAACCGGAAGGTTCACCTTCCAACAGGACAACGACCCTAAGCACACAGCGAAGACAACGCAGGAGTGGCTTCAGGACAAGTCTCTGAATGTCCTTGAGTGGCCCAGCCAGAGCCCGGACTTGAACCTGATCGAACATCTCTGGAGAGACCTGAAAATAGCTGTGCAGCGACGCTCCCCATCCAACCTGACAGAGCTTGAGAGGATCTGCAGAGACGAATGGGAGAAACTCCCCAAATACAGGTCTGCCAAGCTTGTAGCGTCATACCCAAGAAGACTCTAGGCTGTAATCGCTGCCAAAGGTGCTTACATCTTATCCAGAGCGACTTACAGTTAGTGAATACATATTTTTTTATACTGTTCCCCCGTGGGAATCGAACCCACAACCCTGGCATTGCAAACGCCATGCTCTATCAACTGAGCTACATCCCTGCCGGCCATTCCCTCCCCTACCCTGGACTACGCTGGGCCAATTGTGCGCCGCCCATGAGTCTCCCGGTCGCGGCCGGCTGCGACAGAGCCTGGATTCGAACCAGGATCTCTAGTGGCACAGTTAGCACTGCGATGCAGTGCCTTAGACCACTGCACCACTCAGGAGTATGCTTCAACAAAGCTTTGTCATTATGGGGTATTGTGTGTAGATTGATTGATTCTATTTTAGAATAAAGCTGTAACGTAACAAAATGTGGAAAAAGTCAAGGGGTCTGAATACTTTCCATTGTTTGAATGTCTATTGTTTTTACCTCTTGAAGATATCATCGATTTGACTGGCAGGCAATACATATCCTTCCTCATCAAGCTTTATTTCCACATCTGAAACAAACATATTTATCTTTGCACCTTCATTTTCAGTAGGTATAACCATAACATAGTCTGAAGCATTGAATTAAAGGTTACCTGTGTTGTATCTTACAATGTGCCGTCTGCATTACCTAGTGTGTAGCAGTATGGAGTGAGGACTCTGGAAGCGAAGTAGGCGCGGGCCCCTAGTAGATCCACCAGTCCAGTTTTCACATAGTTGTAGAGGTGTCCGTCAACCGGCGTCTCCAGAGACCGACCAGGAGTAAGGAAAGACTTGACATGGTATTTAGGAAGGAGCCTTGGACCCTGGGGTTAAAGCAGGGTGTTAAAGGTGAATCAGAGGATAGTGTGCTAGGATTGCAACACTGCAGTTGAGCAGGAGTGGCAATGCTATCATAGAATGAATATTGATTTGTAGTAACTCGTTACCTCATAGAAAGGACATTCAAGCTTCACAGTCATGTAGAGTTGGGTCAGTTGGGCCAGTACAACCCGGTCGACCCCCGTGCCTTGCTCTGGAACACAAATTAATTTACAATTGTTAAACCAAAGATACTGCAACAATTGCAATTATGAAGAAGAGTAAAAAGGTGTGGGGCAATTCAGTTTAAAATATACCAAACAAGCCTCCCGAGTGGCGCAGCGGTCTAAGGCGTCACTACAGACCCGGGTTCACAACCGGACGTGACTGGGAGTCCCATAGGGCGGTGCACAATTGGCCCAGCGTCATTAAGAGAGGGTTTGGCCGGGGGGCTTTACTTGGCCCATCGCGCTCTAGCGACTCCTTGTGGCGGGCTGGGCACCTGCAGATTGACTTTGGTCGTCAGTTGAACAGTGTTTTCTCCTACACATTGGTGCAGCTGGCTTCCGGGTTAGCGGGTGGGTGTTAAGGAGCGCGGTGTGGCAGGTCATGTTTCGGAGGACGCATGACTCGACCTTCGCCTCTCCCGAGCCCGTTGGGGTGTTGCAGCGATAAGGCAAGATTGTAATTGGGAGAAAAAGGGGGTAAAACACACCAAAAGAAATGGCCTGTGGGCTTATCAATGAGGGTACCTTGTAATTGCTGGAGGAAGTAGCAGTTGAAGACCTTGGACACAAAGTTGACAGGGAACCTCTCTACCAGGATGCAGGAGTGCAGCAGGTTGAGGAGTGTTCTGGGCTGGAAATGAGAGAAGCGTGCGCGCAGGATGGCCTCCACCTTCCGGAACACCTCCCCAGCGTTGGGCGGCAGGTAGCCCAGCTTCCCGAACGGCGTGATCTGCCTGGCCACTTGGCCGGTGCTGTAGTCGTCCGCCCGGTACACAAAGCTCTCCGCCACAGCGTCAAACACCGGCAGCGACAGGATGTTCCGGCGCCCAAAGTACTCCATCACCTTGGTGACTGTCTCTGGGTGGGAGGTAAACGCCATCTTGGGAACGTGTCTCTCCATAGCCTTCACCAAGAAGTGGTCGCTGTGTCCAAAGTGCATGAGCGCCCCGAGCACTAGCCCCAGCTCCTCGTCTTTGAAGTGGGGTACGTGCCTGACCGCCTGCTTACACAGACTGATGACCAGGGGCATGGCCTGGGTCTGGTTCAGGACAACCAAGGCACTGAACACCCCGCTGACAGCAGGGGGGTCCATATGGGAGGTGACTGACACAGCGTGGGTGTGCATAGCGTTTAGGAGGTCTTGGTAGCTTCCCTCCTCCCCTACTCCTGCCTGCAGCAGTCCGTATACAGCAGTGAGCTCTGCTAGGCTCCACTGGCCTGGCTCCTGCTTCTGTACCTGCTCCATCACCTGCTCCAGCATCCCACAGCCCGGGCCCTCCAGGGCCAACAGGGCCTGGCCGAGGGTGCACAGCTGTCCTATGCTCATCTGGCCCCTGTCCAGCCGCTCCTGGCTCTCCGAAACCAGCCGCACCACCAGCGTGCTCCAGGGGTCCACGTAGAGGCGTGTGCAGGCCAGCAGGGTAGAAACCAGCCCGGCCTCTGTCAGACGCCCAGAGTCCTGCTCTAGCTGGCAGCACAGCGCACTGAGAGGGTCCTTCTCCAGCACTGAGGGGTCCTTCAGGGAGGTGCCATCCTGCTCCAGGTCAGCCACTCGGTGCAGGGCTGCCGCTGCCATGGTGTCAGACATGATCTCCACAGTGCGGAGGAGTCGCAGGACCTGTCTAGAGGAAGAGCAACTGCTGAGGCGGTCCAGGAAGGCTTTCTCCTCTGCAACAGTGGGCCGGTGCAGCTGGCTCAGACGGAACCTGGGGACGGAGTCTTTGTGGAGGCCGACTGACCCAGTGGTGTAGAAAGCGTCCTTGGCAATGGTGGACAAACTCATCCTCCCACAGGCTGGCTTACTGAGTCTCTGACAGCGGTGTCTCTGGATACAGCTTTCCGCTGAGGTCCATAGGCACGCCACACACAGGAGCTCCCCTACCGGAGCACTCAGAAGTCTGGAGATGCGACCCAGCCTGCCTGGAGCACAGAGGTGTGCCCCTGTCTGCCCGAGTAACTGAATCCTCTGAATCACCTTTAAAGCCATGGCTCTGTTCCAGGACTCACCAGGCGGTTCCAACCTGTATGAGCATGAGAGCAGATTAGCCTTCAAAGTTCTGTTAGTTACCAGAACCACTACAGTAAAATAGACTACGGTGCGGTGGAATATTTACATCTGATTCAAGTGTTTTCCATAAAAACAGGTCCATGGAATGTCCCATTCATTTTGATGTTTACTAAGTAACCTTGGCTTGTTGGTGGTTATCAAACCACTCGCAACATATGCCTAACAAAACATACCACGACCTAGCCATACTGTAAGAAAATCCATTCAAATGTCAGCTTTTGGCCAACTAATACACGGGATGTCACAAAACATAATTTTGCCCTTGTCATGTAAGCTAGCGAGCTACAAAGCGGAAGTTCATGTTACGTATGGCCAACAGCTAGCCTGCTAGCTAGTTAGCAAACCAGACAAAGTCCGACAACGAAGGCATTGAAATGCTAAATTCGCTTACTTTATAAACTAAACAGCTGGCAAGATGAGTACTATGTAAAACGTTTACCTTTCAGGGAACAGGGAAAACAGAGAATATGTGAAAGATCCATCCACCGGTCCAGCGTGGTTCCGTAACGAAGGAAGGTGCTCAGTCGTGATTGGCCCCGTTAACTAAGCCAGTGGGGTGGGTATGAGGGCGGGTTAATATTTTTCACAAAGCCACTAAGGGGCGCTACAATACAATGTCATGAGTTACCAAAATAGACTCACTATGAAGTTAGAATAAGTGTTTAAAAAAGTTACAATGTAATGTATATTTCAATATTGTTCATTTAAACAGTGTAAAGATGACGGGAACAAAATACAAGTGTTACCAAAATATTGTTAAGTGTGAGTGGTAATATTTAGATTATTCTCAGTAAATCCCAAAATGTTGCATTATGGTCTGGTATCTTTTGCTGTGACAGTGCCAGTTGATGGTTGACTGCTGCTTTATGTATCTTTTGGGAATTTATTTTAAAAAACTGAAGACTCAAGGAGGATCTGATACATTAGTTTAGTACTTAGATATCATCTCAGGCTGCATTTACACAGGCAGTCTAATTCAGATGTTTTGCCAATCCTTTTTGCTAGATATCCCTCTAAAATGTGTGGTTGTTGCAGTCTTTAAGATGGCTGTATATAGATTTAATCAATTTTAGCATTATCTAGGAATTTCAAACAAACCCCTTCACTATAGCTCCCTCTTCGACATGTCCACACACGCTAGGTGGAAAGGGTAATGACTGAGAACTCCATGTTGGGACATAACATACCAGCACAGGAGGAAGGGAAAATAAGGGAACCAGCAGCTTACTAGACATAAGAGACAGCATTTTATTTCAACAGTTAAGTCATGATTTAAAATAGGGTAACGAATGGAGCAAAATACAAGTTGATAGAGTACTTTATTTCAAGTTTATATTTATTATAAAATGTAAAAATTCAGCTAGACCAGGCCATTTGAGTAGCGTTGGAGCTTGCTTCCAGAGTTGCATTTTCAATTTCATGTCACAGACTAGTACATTGTTTTGCAAATTCACAATTACCAGCTACATTTCTCAATACAGATGTGCAAATCTGGCAGCATTGAAATGGGAGCTCACGGGTATGGTCGAAGCCATTGTTTCACCTTGCTAAACATGGGTTTATAGAGCTGAGACATGCAGCAAGATGGTCTAGCTGGAGGTAAAGGAGTAGAGGGGTAGAGAGAAACCATAATACGACTGGCATGGCTGTGGCCTTAATCGTCCTTGTCCTTGGCTCCGTGTTTTAGGATGCGTGTGAACTCCACATAGTTGAAGTTGCTCTTTTTGTCGATGGGCGCCTCCCTGAAGAGCTCATCCACCTCCTCGTCTGTGAAGCGGTCGCCCATTGTGGTCAGTAGCTCTCGGAGGTATTCCTCCTGGATGACACCTGAGGACAGACAGGGTGATGCAGTGAGACCGGTATGCGATAATGCCCATGTCATGGTTACTTCCCCCGGGCAGTGATGCATGGGTTATTAATTTGTTGACTCACACCCAACCCCTCAACGTTATCTTAAATAACATGCATCTGGCCAACCCAATATGAAACAACATTAACCAAGACATTTTATCAAAGTTGATAAAGCATATTTCTGTATTTACAATCCATTTAAGGAAAATGCAGCCCCCTCAAGCATGATATTTTGAAATGAAGTTTTGGGGTAGCGATCCTTTCAAGGAAATTAAACAAAATGCCCAATGTGTATTTTTGTAAGCATGAATTTCCCATATGGACCATAGCCCTCACCTTTTAGCCAGGCAGGCTAACTCAGGGCTAACTCCATTTATCCTGAATAAAGTGTCTTAGCCACGAGTTGAGAACCAATGAAATCAGATACCCGCCCTCTCGCAAAGATTGTCATCATTTGAGGAAGTGATTAAATATTACATTTTTTGTGTGTAAAAAAATGGTAATGTTAAAATACCTATCACATTACACATTTAAATGGCAGCATTTGCTTTCCAAACTGTACGTTTCTCACACTATTGTATTTTGAAATTTGCAAAAGACTGAGCCACAACCATAGACATAATCCATAGATGGCAGGTCCCATTCAAATCAAGACTGGCAGCAATTGCTAGTGTACCCGAGTTTGATTCAAATTGCCAGGGTTGGAGGTTCCAAAACCCTTCTATAGATGATATGTCTATAGCCCAACGCAACAAGCTGTTCCACAGATAGGAGCGATAGTAGTGGGAATAAGCACACCAAAGACGGCATTAACGATAAGTAATAAAATAAAGACGGCACCTCTACAAGCCCATTTCACACCATAGCCTGATGCATTTGTAATAACTTCTTTCATTTTGATTTCGGCACAAATTTAAAATGAGACACCGACTCACCCATGGATTGAGGTTTCAGCATTGTCTCAATGAAGAGTTTGGCGTTCGACTAGCCACGTGCGAAATGCACGCGCAATTACAAGCCTGCTAGAGCTAGCGGCAGGCAGAGGAGCGATATACATCCTCTTAGTACGGATGAAGCCTGGCCTGGAATGTGAAGCTGGCTAGCTTTATAAAAGCCTGAGTAGATCTAGCTTGCTTCGTAGTATACCACTGGTTCCATCATTATTTGGGGACTAAACCCCTGGGAGCCATGGTTTAACCAAAAGGACCTGTTAATGGTACAGCCCACACATCCAGAGGCACTGAGGAAGCTAGTACAGTCTATCCAGCTGAGAATGAGATTAGGAATATCCTGAAAAGCAAACAACTCGGGAATTGTATCTTCTTCATCAAGAAACCCACACACACACGAGATGTGCTCTCCCTTACCGGTCAGGCAGACTGAGAATAAGGTCTGATACCAACAGGCTCAGAGACAGTTTCTATCCACAAGCCATCAGACTGCTGAGCACTTGAACTGCACTGACCACCTGCTCTGATTCTCCGCACCTTAGCACACATACATATATACATTCATTCTACACACACCACAACTGCTGCTACCAGACTTATTATACTGCTCAATTTATACACTTGCCCCCCACCCCAATACACGTGTAAATGTTGGACTATAAATTGTTCCTTCCTATATTACTTACACTAAAACGTTTATTCTATTCTACTGCCATTCACTTGGTTCGCATTCTTCTTCTACTATTTCTTATTGTTGTTAGCAATGTCGAGAAGGAACCTGAAACTAATCATTTCGTTGGATGATGTATACCATGCATATCCCGTACATACGACTAATAAAACGTAACTTCTCTACGCAACTACGGCATCCATTATCAGTATCTACAACAGTATGAATTTATACAGCCCGACAGCGTTCCTATTCCCCCCCCCTCCAAAAAAAAAGCCTGAGATTTGCTATAGTCTTACCTGTGCCCTCTTCGTCGAAGCAGGCAAAAGCATTCCTGATGACGTCCTCAGGATCTGTGCCATTGAGCTTCTCTCCAAACATGGTGAGGAACATGGTGAAGTTGATTGGCCCAGGCGCTTCAGTCATCATCGCCTCCAGGTACTCATCAGTCGGGTTCTTTCCTAAAAAACAAAAGGACGATCACACAGTGCCACATTAGAACAGACTGCATTCAACTCCCTGTCAACAGTAATAATAATAAGCCATTTAGCAGACGCTTTTAGCCAAAGCGATTCAGTCATGTGCGCATACAGCAACCTAGTTTTACAATAATATCTGCATAAATGGTTTCAATCATATAAAACACAATGGGAACAGGGTGGTAGGGAATGCTGGACAAATGAATGTTCTTTGTTAATGGATGACTGTTTCAATAGAATGCCTCTCTCCTAACACCAACTTACCAGCTGGGAGACACACCCAACCTTAGCCAGGGGGTAAACATACTGTATCACCTTACATAACAAACCTAAACCCTGTCAGCAAGACTGACTGGGTCCACAAACACTACAAAGTTTAACGCCAAGCAGTGATCAAAAGACATACAGGCAATAATTTAAAGGGGGAGCCCAACACAAGCACACAAGAGATAACACGAAATCATTCAGTGCCTCAGTTTCACATTGAGTGAATCAAACGAAGTCCATGAGAAAACAATTGACTGATTTCAGATAAGGGGAGCTTCAGAGATACTCACCCAGTGAGGCAAGCATGTCGTGCAGGTCCTCCTTGTCGACAAACCCGTCACGGTTCTGGTCGATCATGTTGAAGGCCTCCTTGAACTCCTGGATCTGAGACTGGTCGAACATAGCGAACACATTGCTGGTAGCGCGCTGGGGGCGCTTCTTGGTAGTCTTTCCCTTGGCCCTTTTGCTCGACATTTTAGCTGTGTTGTGTGTACCTGCAAGGGTGAAAATAGCATATTCCTGAATAAGACCACAGCACCAGATTTGTAATATCCTAAAAAAGTCACTTAGCTTTTACCATTTCAATCAGACTTAGAAATAGTGTTTTAATGATGTCAATGAAGCTCAATTCTAGGGACAATAACATTTGAGGCTACATTAGGGGCTGTGAAAAACAAGCAGGTAACCTGGCTCATGTCATTACCCAAAATAAGATTTGACCAGTCATGCCCAGCTTTCCGTGGCTATGGGCTACTCTAATTCAAATATTCCCCAGAGATGTGTCCTCACTGTGCTATAAATGGAAATGTTCTACTGCTGTGAAGGTTGTTCTATCTGTTCCCTTTGCACAGGATAGGAAAAACTACAGATGTGAGAATACATTCCCTTTTCAGGCAAGTTCAACAACCTCTTATTCGAAGAGGGCCACTGCCTCTAATATGCCTCCCTACCTAGCAAGTAAGAGGGAGCCAGTGGTCCACACGATTGATTCACTATTATGGCAACAGAACACGGCTGGATAAGACTGATGCAGTGACCTCATTTTCTAATTTGAGGTTGTACAATAATAGGGGGACTGAATTAAGACTGAAGTTCTTTCCGAGACCACATAGACTTTTCTCTTGTTGAGATAGGTGAGATAAATCAAGTTACAGTTTAGCCCTCATTAACATTCTATAATGATACTTTGAGAAAGAATTGAGGGGAAAATTCTCATGCGAAGTTAGGTCTATGTCATGAATGGGGCCTATAAACTGCTGCCATCTGCTACTACTTGTATTACCTACAGTAACGTAGATAGTAGTTTAGTAGAAATGAAAATGAAGCACGAATATCAATTGACACATTTGGAATGGCTTTGAGCAATATGCTAGAGATAGACAGCTGACGTTGGGGCGGCAGGTAGCTTAGTAGTTAAGAGCGTTGTGCCAGTAACCGAAAGGTCGCTGGTTCTAATCCCCGAGCCGACAAGGTGAAAAATATGTCGATGTGCCCTTGAGCAAGGCACTTAACCCTAATTGCTCCTGTAAGTCGCTCTGGATAAGATGACTAAATTGTCAATGTTAGGACTTGTGTCCTGAACAACATTAGCAACAATAGTGGAATCGGCGGTTCGCCTTCAATATAAAAGTCACCAATTGAAACTGATGCAAACTCATACAAATAGTGGAATCATGCCACAATTGGACTAGAAAATGCTAAACAAGGTTGGAATGCGACACACTGGTGACGTTAGCGACATTGAGGAGACGACAAAAACATTACGAAAACCAGGACGTTAGCTACGCTAGTAACGTTAGCTAGCTACTTTGTTTTGGCACACATATTTGCGTCGTTATAATACCTAACTAGCTACCGTACGGTCTGTTATGTAATTTAAAACTATTTCAATTTGCTAGTTAGAACGAAATGTTATTTCTCCCCGTGCAGGAACTACTGTAATCTTGGCAGCTACTAGGAACAAGCTGATTTCGCTAGCTTGCTAGCTATTGCTAATCAGCCAGCGAACACATACTTCCATATGAACACGACTGTAGCTTAGACATTTTACACTGTATAGTTGACAGTTAAATAATAAGTAGCATGGAATTGGCAAGTGAAATAACACATTTTACGTTCAAATAGGCAAATATAAGACCTACCTAATTCCGAAAAGATGGATAGTCAGCTAGCCCGTGTTGCCCTATCTCTCAACCACCGCCCTAACTTCCTAATAATGGTTCCGCACAGGAAATGCAGGCCAAACCAACTTCGGGAAATGGGGAGGACTTTAGAATTTCTAAATTATTTATATTTGTATTTAATTATGTTTTGCACCGTACAATAACACAATACATATTTAGATATTTCTTTAATGTTTTTTTGCTTTGACTATACACAATTGATGTAAATGCTCGTGAATCAGTTCATTTTTACTTTGGTATACCCCCCACTGGAGTTAATGGTGTTTTCTCAAAATACATTCTTGAGATATGCCCAAATACGGAGAAAATAAATGCATCTTCCTGTGCCTAATCATGAGTAAGATAACATTGCTATAATTTTCATTATATTAAAACTCGGATTTCCTTCATTTCACAAAACATATACAAAAATACAATGATTATAGCTAAGCCATGTTCAACACTAGTTAAGCCCCCCTCCCTTGTCATAGGCCAAAGGAACAGTAAACATAAATCATTATCCCTAATAGTACTATTTAACTATTTAATAGTTTGGGTGTTCAAGATATGAGCTATTGCTAGTTTACTACTATGATCCAATAACCATCTTTTTAATTAAAAAGGAGTGCATTCTGCCTGTTCCCAAGAGAGCTGGAATGGTTCTTAGTTTGTTGAACAGCATAACACTCTTTTCATCACCAAGTTCAGCAGATGGGAACAAATACAATGGCAGGAATTAGCAATGGAGAACTCATCTTGAGACCATAATGTGTTCATGTTTACTGAGAGGAGAGAGGGTCGCTGCTCCAAACTGGGATGACGAGGAGAGCTTATCATGGTTTAACATTCACCAAAAAACAAGCTCTAGGCTATGTCTAAACAAGTAACCACTATACATATTTTCAAGGATTTCTGGGATCCATGAAGACAAACAATAATATTAACATTTATAAAAATAATAGTACATCTCTAGACCATTAAACCAATACGAACACACTTGATTCAGTTCATTAATAAGCCATTGATTACAGTGGCGGCTCCTGAAAAAATTCTCAGGGGGGGCAATTTTTCTGATGATTTAGGTGACCTACACACATTTTAAAAAAGATATGTCCAGCAACAACATGAAGACAGGGGCAGCATATAAGTCAATACTGATATACACATTACTTGCTTCAAAAAGGCCTCATGGTTGAATTGGAAATATGTGCACCTGAGCAAGCAGGAGCTTTTGATAGAGGCTACTGAAAACATTGATGCAAGTTATTGGTAATAAGAAATTTTTATAGACTTCCATATTCTGCCCTCTTGTATAGATTTGTGAAAATGAACAGTGATAGACATTTTGCCTGAAAACAGAATTTGAAAATAATTTCTAGAAAAGGTAAACACAGCTATCTGTATGGCTTTGTAAATATGAACAACCATATTCTGGCCAATTGTATAGATTTGTAAAACAAATTGTTTACTTTAAAAAAAATGAAAAATAACTATTTTAAACAACATCAACTGTGAACTGATTTGGGCGTGTGTGTGTTAAAGAGACAGACAGGGAGGGACAAAGAGAGAGAGAGGCTACATTACTTGTACTGAAACTGTTCTCTTCTCTCTTTCAATGCAGAAAAGCGGTCAATGACTTTCTCATTGAAATCAGGCATGCTGAGGACTAGTTTACTAGTTACTTTTTAGCTTGCTGCATGATCAAATTCAGCTGATGCGCATAGCAATGCACGTAATGGCCTTTCTTGAAATGCTCACGCACCTTTTGCCTTCTCTCGCCTCATCACACTGGCTCCATCGTAAGCTTGCGCAATGAGTTTGACTTTCACGTCGTCGGCAAAAAGACCGTTCAGTCTCTCCAAAAGCACACTGGCGATTGAGACTGAGGTTGATTCCGAGATGGGAAGGAACTCAAAAAAGCGCTCCTGCACTTTGTGGTTGTCTCTTTGATGTGAACTTCTTTCAAAGAGACAATCGAGTTGCACTGAACGCTATAGCCATCTTGATAGTAGTACGTGAATTGATTGATGCTGCTACCCGCTCTTTTCTTAGTTACGTTCATGGTTACGTTACGTATGACGAAAGCGCGTAAGTGCAAGCCCTCAGAAACCCATAGAGATTGTATTGAAAGCTCTGAAATTTGAAAAAAATAGATTTTACATGGGAGTCTATGACAGACTTCTGGGCGATTTTCAACCTGACTGAAATCGCCCCAAAAGGGGGGGGAGCCATTTGAAGCACGACTTTAGCCTGATTGGACATTTAGTGGCAGTGTGGCACTGTGGCAGATCAGACGTCTAGATTACAACACTGATAACTACTGTTGCCGTGATATAATTGATTAGAAAAAAATTCCCTTCCTTTTCCCGTTTGGCAGTGCGTCGCCCATATCGCCCTATTGAACAGACCGCCCCTGATTGATTAGTTACTTTAGTGTGTTTCTGCTGGGCTAGAACAAAGGCTGTGCCTGACCAAAATCAAAGAATATTGCCTGGAAACATGACCTCATACTGCACTGCCCATATTCAACCACTTGAGGGTACTAGTCTCATAGGGTGGACTAAAACAAAGTGTTCATTCATAATCACAATCGATCAACTTCTAGGAGTTTCACAGAAGACTAGCCTGAAATGATTCTGACTCTCCACGATCTAACACGCCCACTCCTACCCAGTTGTAAGGGCCTGGTCAAAAGTAGTGCACTATATAGGGAATAGGGTGCCATTGGGAACATAACACATGGTAGTGCCATCCGACCATCCTTCTGATTTACTGCAGGTTGTGATAGGATGACGTCATTAGACCACACTTTTATCACATTCCTGGCTGGGAAGGCACTTGAGTTTACAATGGAAGCGTGGAGACTTTTTTTGAGGAAAATATCCTCCATATGAGTTATGATCGCCACGCTGTCAGGTAATTGGGGTTTATCTTTAGATTAGAGTAAATTACTGTACGTTTTAGTTTAAACCCTATTGAAAAGCAACCCAATATCCTTTGATGTTCAGTCACACAAAGACAGCTGGTCTTTTGTTATATTGTATGTACCATAGAGATATGTGATTCAATATGAAATTCTATGGTAAATGTACCTCCATAGGTGTCTGATTGGTCAATGTTCTCTCTATCAGTAGGAACTACTGAAGATACCAAAAAATGCATTCATGATCTGTATTCTGGAAAAAGCATTATGAAGATGTTTGTATAGCGATGCAAGGAATAAGGCATAGGCTAAACATGGATGACCTGTCTTGGAAAGTTGTTCACGTAAAGAAAGAATCACAGACTAGTGGTCTTATAGTGTTTTGTGTAGTCTGTAAGATCCTTCATCGCCTCATAACAAAGCAGGAGCATTAGTATTCAATCACTACTCAGAGGACGTCACATTTGTCAGTTTCACATGCAGGGTCAGAAGGCTATTGACTGCAAGGAGTAGGGCTACACCCATATTATTAAACGATGGGCATGTACTCTCTCTTTCTCACGCACGCACACACAGACACACAATGCTAACTGGCATTTGTTATATGTGACACAGGCAACAATATCATCGCTATACTTAGTCACAGACACAGCTCTCTAAGATATTGTGAGGAGCCAAGACAACCGATAGTGAATAATAATATGCCATTTAGCAGACACTTTTATCCAAAGCAACTTACAGTCACGTGTGCATACATTTTTACGTATGGGTGGTCCCGGGGATCGAACCCACTACCCTGGCGTTACAAGCACCATGCTCTACCAATTGAGCTGCAGAGGACCAGTATATGAATATTGAACATTGGCACAATATGAGACAGAAATTACACCATTTATTCCTTTTTAAGATGAAGTCCAAGTTATGGGGTCAGCCCAATAAGATTGATCAGAGTAGTATATAGGGCTGCCATGCAACCAGAAGTTCAGGTGTCAGGCTTAAAGTGACCTTTCTATATGTGAATATCATACATTGACAATAACCTTGATAGTCATTAATAAATCTAAGGTCTGCTGTAAGAGGAAATACCCATGTTTAAATACGAAATGTATAAAGTAATCCATTAATGGGACACTGATAATGAGTTAGGCTATACTCTCTCCAATAAGTGGTGTCAAAAATACAGTAACACTGACTAATGATGACAAGCTACATATTTGTTGTACAGTAGGCCTAGTCTATAATATAGGCCAACAGGTAGAGAGGGTCATTTTTGACATTGCAAATAGTCGCACTCGTCAATGACCAACATATTCAAAAGTCACCGGACTAGGTTGGGTCTGCTGCTCTCTCCCTAGAGTTGTGATAGCTTCCCTCTGCTCTGCTCTCGTCTATATTTATCGGGCCTCCACGCCATAAAAGGACGTAACTGCGGTTTGGCCATTCCACCGAGTGCCAATTTTATTTTTGTTGTGTAGACGGCTGCCTTTCCTCTGCTACCGCACCTACCTGCGGCTTTGCCTGGATTTCAAACTTCGTTGACTTACACCTGGAGTTGGATCACTTTTTCCTTTGCTTTCAGCAGTTGGTGGCTTTTTGGGCCTAGGTAAGTTATCTCGATACGAATAACTGATAAGATTTCCGCTTCATCAACCAAATAGAAGTAACCAGAGGTTATTTTTTGATAATTCGTTGTTGAATATTATGTTATGTTTAGTGTGCATTTTGATGGTGTGATTGTTTGCAATGTGAATCCTGTTCTATGCCAGCCTCAGGCGCACACTGCAATTTGGAATTCCAGAGTCACAGGCTCTTCTCATGTTAAAATCATGCCATTATTAGATAGAACAACTACTGAACCAGTGCACCTGTTGCCCTCCACTCATGTCAGTTAACATCCTATGCCTATTGCAGTTTAGAACAGCCATAAAGTATTTTCAAAACAAAGAAGTCTGGAAATCCATTGATTTCCATTAACAGTAAATAGGCCTAGGCTACATCAATCAAGTTATTTGGAAAAACTCAAAAAAATATTTAAATTCTACATCTACCGAATCAATTTGGCTAATTTTACTATCAGAAAAAGTTGTGCATTTTATTCCTCATCCATTGATGTTGATAGTAGGCTACACTTGAGTTGTGTACAGAGCATGAAGATATTGATCTGGCACAATCAATATAATTTCCCCCTAATCCAACAGAGACAATGAAGGTCATGACCTTTCCTCTGTGATTATATCAAGTAACATAATACAATAACAACAATTATCATCAAGACAAATTGTAAATGAAACCAAAACATTAAACAACTAATAGCTTACAAAAGTACATTTTGCAGCAATGCTTTAACTGTATTGATCAAAACCATTCTCAAACACTAGCTAAGCAGACAGGCAGGCTACAAGAGACTCTGTGGGAATTCAGGGCTCGTGCCAGGAACACCGTGCAGGATGTCTGGGTCCATACCTTTCTACCAGAAACAGCACCGCCACTATGATCGTGACTACCGCAGCAAGGAGGTGGAGTCGGCTGTTAGCCAGTACCAGTCGAGTAGCAGCAGCTATGCCACCCGCAGCAGAGCCAGTGCCAGTCTCAGTGCCAGCAGGGGGTAAGGAGGAGAAGGATGCCCTGCAGTACAGTAGCTCTGGCTCATATCCATGCATCCCATCCATACTGGTGTCAGAAGATGGCCCTGCTGCCCCTGTAACCCCATCACCAACCTTACCTCCTATCTCATACATCTGTCAACTTTTCCCATGCCATCCATGGCCTCCACATCAGTCGGTCCTGCTTAGTAACCATCATTTCTCTGCTTTAAATGATTCTTCTTCCACTTCCTGCTTCTACACCTGCAGTATTAAGGTGTTTGACCACTCCCAGTAACATTCTCTAACCTTATCTCTTTTCTCTAAAACCATTCCATAAATATAATATGTCTGTGAATCCTGCATGAAGTTCCAAGTAGTCCTTTATATGGATACTGTGCATGTCGGTGTCTGTTGCACACTGCCCTGTCTGCTTTTGAACTAATGCACTTTTTCTTTTAAGACAACCTTCTCCTAGTTCCCACTATAGTTCAGTTAACCAGAAATAGAGCATCTCACATTCACATTGACTCTGTCGTCATAAATGTTTGATGCAGGCTGGGTGTAAGCAAGCTTTAAAGGAATGCACTGTGTTGCATAATGCAGTGTTATGCTATAGGCCTATGCCATGGCCTATAGACTGAAATAGCATCCTGACCCGTGCATACCATGTCTCTGGGAATGTGAGCTGTAGTGTAGATTCTCTGCCCTAGTTCTCTAAACCCCAGTTTTAATGGTTTCCTTTCTTGAGGTCTTGTTTCCCTGTTAAGATGTTTTATTTTGTTCAGCCAGTACATCCATTGGGGGCTTCCTCTCGCACTAAACAACGATGCTATTTTGCGTGAGTACATAAGGCATAAGGCTTTTTAGCATGCTTCTCTTAGAGCCTTGTAATGCATTGTGATCTGGAGACATGGCTGAAGTTGGCTATGAGTTAAGGTCTTGTTTGGGGTCAGCAGCAGGTAGCCTAGCGGTTAGAGTGTTGGTCCAGTAACTGAATGGTCAATGGTTTGAATACCCGAGCCAACAAGATGAAAGATCTGTGGATGTGCCCTTTCGCAAGGCACTTAACCCACATTTTCTCCAGGGGCGTTGTACTACTATGTCTGACCCTGTAAAACAACACATTTCACTGCACCTATCTGGTGTATGTGACAATAAAACATATTTTTTGGGGGAGATTGCATCCACCTGTGGATTTCCCAGAATTGTTGAATGCAGTGGTCATTAATGTCTTTCAGTGGGTCGTTATTTGCTGTTTGAATTGTTTTATTTAAGGAATTATCGATGAGATATAGGAGTATTTACAAGACTATTCTGGCAATCTATGGACGGCCTAACAACAGTGGTTGTGATTGTATTGAATCACGTGTTGAAATGTTGGCGGTCTCACTCTTAGGAACAACTGGCATCTCTAAATACACTGGCCTTGACAGTGTGCATAGGAGGTCAAAGGGTTTCTGTGGAGCTAATGGTCCCTCATTTGGGCCTTTATGGTTGAACCTCATGCTGTCAGGAATTTACCCAGCTTTCCCTGCCTTTGGGTTAGTGACACCATTGGTCGAACCATAGTACTCTACCTTGTCGCATAGCAATGTCCCTATGGCATAGGCATAGGGAATATAAATGGTGCATTGACAAGACGGATTCAGAGGCCTCAGTAAGAGACATTTTCTCCCCTGTTGATTTTGAAATTGAATAGCCTTTTGCTGTTTATTATAGTCTGATGGTGACATAACAAAAGTTATGAACTGGAGATTGTCCTGGTATTGTGCAGACATACCAATTGTTCCATTAGGAATACTCATTGAATGGGAATTACCTTTCATGCATTCCCATTCTGCAATAAGAGCGATCCTTATCGTAATCCATCTACATATTGATCCTTATTTTACCTGGTAAGGTGACTTATTCTCTTTTACCGCAATGACCTGGAGAAGAGTTACGGGGGGAGGAGAGGGAATAAATGAGCCAATTGGAAGCTGGGGATGATTAGGTGGCCATGATGGTATGAGGGCCAGATTGGGAATTTAGCCAGGACACTTGGGTTAACATTTACATTTTACATTTTAGCAGACGCTCTTATCCAGAGCGACTTACAGTTAGTGAATACATATATATATTTTTATACTGGCCCCCCGTGGGAATCAAACCCACAACCCTGGCGTTGCAAACGCCATGCTCTATCAACTGAGCTACATCCCTGCCGGCCATTCCCTCCCCTACCCTGGACCAATTGTGCGCCGCCCATGAGTCTCCCGGTCGCGGCCGGCTGCGACAGAGCCTGGATTCGAACCAGGATCTCTAGTGGCACAGTTAGCACTGCGATGCAGCACCTTAGACCACTGCACCACTCAGGAGGCTAACACCCCTACTCTTACGGCAAGTGCCAGGAGATATTTAGTGATCACAGGGAGTCAGGACACCAGTTCTCACGTCCCAATCCGAATGACGGCTGAGTGTTTTTCCAACCCTGATTCTATGACTGATACTATGAAGTGGTATTCTCAGGGGTCTTGGAGGGGCAGGGTGGGGAAACAGTTTTCCTGTTCCATAGTTGTCGGTGTTCTGTTGCCTTTCCTCTTTGTTTTTACTCTGAGCCAGACGCTGTGTGGGGATGGAACCCCTTCACCCCTCCGTTTTTACACCCACTAGACTTGTCACCGCCTCCCTTCCCAGGTCACCAGATTTTACAGGGGAGTAATATAGATTCTACATATGAGTGACATACACTGAGTATACCAAACATTAGGAACACCTTCTTAATATTTGCCCTCAGAACAGCCTCAATTCGTTGGGTCATGGACTCTACAAGGTGTTGAAAGCAATCCGCTGGCCCATGTTGACTCCAATGCTTCCCACAGTTGTGTCAAGTTGTCTGGATGTCCTTTAGGTGGTGGACCATTCGTGATACACACAGGAAACTGTTGAGCATGAGAAACCCAGCAGCGTTGCAGTTATTGACACAAACCGGTGCGCCTGGTACCTACTACCATACCCTGTTCATAGGCACTTAAATATTTTGTCTTGCCCATTCACCCTCTGAATAGCACACATACACAATCCATGTCTCAATTGTCTCAAGGCTTAAAAATCCTTCTTTAACCCGTCTCCTCCCCTTCATCTACACTGATTGAAGTGGATTTAACAAGTGACATCAAAAAGGGATCATAGCATTCACCTGGATTCACCTGGTCAGTCTGTCATGAAAATAGTAAGTTTTGTACACTCAGTGTACATTATATACACACACAGGAGATACATATGGCTCCATTTCATATTGTCTGGCAATTGTTTTGTTGCCTATAATGCAGTGTACCATTAATTACGTGTTGATGTACACTACTGGTCAAAAGTTTTAGAACACCTACTCATTCATTGTAGAATCAAAACTATGAAACAACACATATGGAATCATGTAGTAACCAAAAAAGTGTTAAACAAATCCAAATATATTTTATATTTGAGATTCTTCAAATATCCACCCTTTGCCTTGATGACAGCTTTGCACACTCTTGGCATTCTCTCAACCAGCTTCACCTGGAATGATTTTCCAACAGTCTTGAAGGAGTTCCCACATATATTGAGCACTTGTTGGCTGCTTTTCCTTCACTCTGCGTTCCGACTCATCCCAAACCATCTCAATTTGGATGACGTCGGAGGATTTTGGAGGCCAGGTCATCTACTGCAGCATTCCATCACTCTCCTTCTTGGTAAAATAGCCCTTACACAGCCTGGAGGTGTGTTGGGTCATTGTCCTGTTGAAAAACAAATGATAGTCCCACTAAGCCAAAACCAGATGGGATGGCGTATCGCTGCAGAATGCTGTGGTAGCCATGCTGGTTAAGTGTGCCTTGAATTCTAAATAAACCACAGACAGTGTCACCAGGAAAGCACCCCTACACCAGAACACCACCTCCTCCATGCTTTACGGTGGGAAATACACATGTGGAGATCATCCGTTCACCCACACCGGGTCTCACAAAGACACGGCGGTTGGAACCAAACATTTCCACCGGTCTAATGTCCATTGCTTGTGTTTCTTGGCCCAAGCAAGTCTCTTCTTCTTATTGGTGTCCTTTAGTAGTGGTTTCTTTGCAGCAATTCGACCGTGAAGGCCTGATTCACGCAGTCTCCTCTGAACAGTTGATGTTGAGATGTCTGTTACTTGAACTCTGTGATGCATTTATTTGGGCTGCAATTTCTGAGACTGGTAACTCTAATGAACTTATCCTCTGCAGCAGAGGTAACTCTGGGTCTTCCATTCCTGAGGCGGTCCTCATGAGACCCAGTTTCATCATGGCGCTTGATGGTTTTGCGACTGCACTTGAAGAAACGTTCAAAGTTCTTGAAATGTTCCGTAATGACTGACCTTCATGTCTTAAAGTAATGAAGGACTGTCGTTTCTCTTTGCTTATTTGAGCTATTCTTGCCATAATATGGACTTGGTCTTTTACCAAATAGGGCTATCTTCTGTATACCCCCCTACCTTGTCACAACACAACTGATTGGCTCAAATGCATTAAGAAGGAAAGGAATTCCACAAATTAACTTTTAAGAAGGCACAGCCGTTAATTGAAATGCATTCCAGGTGACTACCTCATGAAGCTGGTTGAGATAATGCCAAGAGTGTGCAAAGCTGTCATCAAGGCAAAGGGTGGCTATTTGAAGAATCTCAAATATAAAATATATTTTAATTTGTTTAACACCTTTTTGGTTACTACATGATTCCATATGTGTTATTTCATAGTTTTGATGTCTTCACTATTATTCTAAAATGTAGAAAATAGTAAAAATAAAGAAAAATCCTTGAATGAGTAGGTGTTCTAAAACTTTTGGGCAACAGTCTCTAAGGTGGAGGCTAGAGTACCGGGTGGTAGCCGGCTAGTAACAGTGATTAATTTCCTCGTTTGATATCTGGTACTGACTTCGAACCAAGTAGGCCGGTGGGTGGGGTTACAAATAGCCATACTCAATGATTGGTCTCACGTAATGATCACAGTATCGCGTATGTTGTTAATACTCATGCACGAGTCACTGGTGCCATTTCTATAAGAGAAGGTAAGTCTGACTACAAACGGTACAGCCACAGATAGAACTTGGTACAGCTACACTAACAAATAAATTGCTCAGTTGGAGCGTTTTTTAGCAAATATTGAATACGTTAGCCGAGATGGGAATCAATCGGTCAGTAAAACAGTGCAGGGAAAATTAAGAAACTCAAACAAGAATATAAAAAGATCATAGACCAAACAACAAAAGTGGATCAGAGTCAGACAGTGATATTTGAAGCCATGATGACGCCCGGTAATACATTGAATCTGAAATATAAAATATATTTGGATTTGTTTAGCACCTTTCTGGTTACTACATGATTCCATATGTGTTATTTCATAGTTTTGATGTCTTCACTATTATTCTACAATGTAGAAAATAGTAAAAATAAAGAAAAACCCTTGAATGAGTAGGTGTTCTAAAACTTTTCACCGGTAGTGTACTTGTGATAATCAATTTGGTGCAACCTAAATAATGGTTGTGTTGGGTGTTTGGTTTGTAGTGTCAGGTGTGTGGGTTTTGAGCTGAGAACCCTTTGTATTTTTGAGAGGATGAGGATGTCTGTGTATCTTCCCTTCACCTACTCTCCTATGACCACCATGTTTCATTTTCATTGGTCCTTTTTATGTTTAAAGAGTTTGATATATTAAAACAAGTTCCAAAACCGCACGCTGGTGACGACAGACGAACGACTTTGTCTTAATTCTATCTTATATTTTGTCATTGCAGACATGTCATTGCAGCTTAACCCACCTAAGCCACCCTCCTTGTTGATGATTAATATACCCCATAATACAACCTTTCTCCTCCTCATCCAGCCCTTCAGATTACATTGACATTAACTTTGATGTTATTACACTGTGTTAGGTTGACATTGCTGTATTGACACTATCCTGTGTCTTAGACTTAGTGCATCATACTCTGGGCTGGAGGAGAGCAGACTGAGCCCAATCCCCAAGAGAGCCAAGCCCACCTACCTGGCTATGGACAAAGAGAACCAGATCATCGGCTATGTAGTGCCCATCTTCAGGGGCAGGTAAACTAGTCAACGATCTTTGAACCTTGTGGAGAAGCCAGGGACATTTTGATATCAGTGAGTGGTTCTGACCAATGACCATGAAAATGACCCCACTGCCCACTCTCCTCCCTGGCTTTGCTCCCCCACCTTAGTCAGGAGTATGCCAGTGGGCTTTCAGATACGGAGGAGGCCCGGCTGAAGGAGAGTACTGAATATATGGCCCGGAGGAATCTGTTCACGAGTGGGTTGGAGATGGAGAGGACGGAGCAGACGTCTAGGAAGGTGTCCATGCGCGAATCAGCCGAGCGCATCTCCCTGAGCAAGAGGGTTAGTGCAGGAGTCTTTGTGAAGTCATAGAGGGCAGTATTCCTTTGACACATCACATTGAGGAATACAGAATAATACGCACCTTCGTGACATCATAATGGGGAATATTGAGTCTTTGTCATGTCATAGATGTCAGTAGGGCTGCACAATGAATCGAATTCACATCAAAATCTCAATATTGACATGTACAATATCCATATTGCAGAAGCATGCAATATTTTGAAACGCCACTCAGCCGCATGTAACGTACTCTCCTCAAGTATGGGTAGCTGCAGCCCAATATGGCGACCGGAGTATAGGCGAGTGGGTGTGTCGAAAGGAGTGGGTGTATGGAAAGCAAATCAGCGAACGTCTTACGTGTCTGATTAGGCTGCACAGTGAGCCGAACTGAGTTGCTTCTTACTGGGTATCGGTCGTGTTGCCGGCGGTAGCTAACATGGCAATTTTTTCCCTCCCATTATTTTATTTCAAGTAGGACAGCAGCCTACACAAGAAAAAACGAATATTGATAACCATCTAGATGTCACCTTGATACATACATACATACAGTCTACTAATCAATGGGGAGCAGGGGAGGGCATGAACGGAAACAACACCGGGACACAGTGTCCTTCGCTCCAGCTTGACAAGCACTACTGTTCGGCAACGGCGTGGGAAGTTGCTACCTAGTAGCCAATATCAGGGGGACAGTCAAAGTAAGCACACGCATACAATGCATGAAGCAACAGTACACCCATCATCAGTACTTTTAATAAAAAATAAACAATCGTCAGTTTTATAACTGAAAATGTACAATTATTTGTGTAAAACTAACAGTGAAGTACAACTCCGACTCATCCTCTGGCTTCAAAACAGAAGTCCAAACCCCCGCGGCACGTTAGGTAAGAAACGTAAGAAAAAAAACACAGCTCAATCAAACCATTTAACCTATAGCAGAGTGCTTTTGACACATTCACTCCTTTCCACACGCCCACTACTTTCCTTTCGACACACCCACTCCTTTCCATACCCCACTACTTTCCTTTCAACACACCCACTCCTTTCCATACCCCACTACTTTCCTTTCGACACACCCACTCCTTTCCATACCCCACTATTTTCCTTTCGACACACCCACTCCTTTCCATACCCCACTACTTTCCTTTCAACACACCCACTCCTTTCCATACCCCACTACTTTCCTTTCAACACACCCACTCCTTTCCATACCCCACTACTTTCCTTTCGACACACCCACTCCTTTCCATACCCCACTACTTTCCTTTCAACACACCCACTCCTTTCCATACCCCACTACTTTTCTTTCGACACACCCACTCCTTTCCATACCCCACTACTTTCCTTTCGACACACCCACTCCTTTCCATACCCCACTACTTTCCTTTCGACACACCCACTCCTTTCCATACCCCACTACTTTCCTTTCAACACACCCACTCCTTTCCATACCCCACTACTTTTCTTTCGACACACCCACTCGCCCATACTCCGGTCGCCATATTGGGCTACAGCTACCCCCTCCTCCCTCTTGTGGCTGCTTCACACAAAACCCCGCCCCCTGTCACTCAAGCAGCGCAGTTCCTCCTATCTGTTAGATTCAGGTTGCATGCTGTTCTGTTAGGTCAAATGCAGTCAATACATTGGGCGGATTAGATTATGCTGAGATTAGATTATGCTGATACTCGGGCGAAAGCGGGGAGGGAGGAGCGCCATTCCCAAATCGAACAGAAATCTGTGCCGCTCTGTCATTTTGTCAACAAGGCAGCACTGTGCATTGTCTAGAAACATACATCTCTTTTCCATAAAATAAATATTTGAATTTTGTAACTCGTTTTCATTGAGAAGGCAGATAAAGCTTGAAAGCAATCACTTTTGCATGTGAAAACACAAAATCCTACTCAATACTCCACGTGCTCCTACGTCACTTTGTTTTGAGCCGACTTCACCGTGGGCTTTGAACGGGGCACACAGGGCACCTGGCTTTGGAACCTGTGTGGGGTGAAAGTTGATTGCGTTCATTTTGGAACCAGGCTAAAATGAATGCAATCAACTTTCACCCGGTGCAAATCATGCCTACACAGGTGCCAGGCGAGATTAATCGAACCCCCCCATTGTTCCAAACAAGAATGATGCTGCTTTACACTTTGCTTCTTAATATAAATCATTTTATTTCTATAATTCCAACAGTTCACCGAAGTGTTTGGATTTATATCGCAAGTCCAATCGCAATATTTGGATACAAAATCAATGTAGGCCCATATTGTGCAGCCCTACAGTAGATGCCGGAATCACATTGGGGAATACTGGATAATACTCATCATAATGGGGTATTCTTAGTTTGATGACTTCTGACTGAACAATACCTTCTCTTGTTACATCACAGAGTGGCATTATTTCCCTCATTGACATCAAAGAGAAGAGTACAGATGTAGGATCTTCATTTGATCACTCTTTTGTTAATTAGAATGTTCCTGCACAGCAGGAAATGCACACTTGTAGTCTATTCACGGTTTTAAAAGGCTTCTAAAGTTAGTAATTTCCATTTCCAAATTTCAGACTTGATTTGCCGTAATGTAAAATGTATCAACCCCTACAAAAAATTGTTTCCATTAATTTGATCCACATAATAATTCACATTTCCCTTTGCTGCATGATAATTTTCCTGCTGTAGCAAACTGGCTCAAATTAAGATCCTACATACCAAGTCACAATAATGTGCAGTGCGTTCGATTTGCCTACTGTTGGGGGGGCAGGGCAACCCCCAGCTCCTCTAAAACCATTGTCAACAGCTTGCTTTTCAAGGGATTGTTAAATAAATGTTAACTATTTGGTTGTAATCTCATCACCTCTTGAAGAGCATAGTCAGAACTACAAATGTCAGATTATTCCATGCAAAACATTTAGCTCTATCATCAGAGTTATACAGCAAGTAACTGCATGCTTTTCATGATCAGTAATTTAAGATAAGTGAGCGTAGCCTCACAATATCTCTCAATATTGGCCACCATTAATTGGATATTTGAGTGATAAAAAATTAAAAGTGAACTATACCTGACAAGTATGCGTGGTTTATGTTCATTTCCCATCCTTTGTGGGCTCTGCCTTTCAAGCAGCAGAAGGGCGCATTTGCCGTGGTACTGTTAGCTGATAATGTTTACTTTGCAAGCTACTGGTAGAAATGTTGTACAGTTGGCTAAACATAGTGGTAAGTAGACCTAACCCACTGGGTACAGACATCAATTCAACGTCTATTCCACATTGGTTTAATTGAATTGATGTGGAAACAACATTGATTCAACCAGTGTGTGCCCAGTGGGTAATGTACTTTTTTCTCCAACCAACGTAGGCCTACCTAGCAAACATTATCCCCTTTTTGAAACATTGCTTTTAAGAGGGTTTAATCACGATTGCTGCTGACAGACATGATAGGCTACATTGATTAATGGACCACGTCAAATTGGCTAGCTAGCTAATAGGCCTAACAGATCACGTCAAGATGGCTAGTTAACAAGCTAACGTTCAGGGGATAAACTAGATGGCTATATCCAAATATTGTTTGATTTGCTTGCCATCTATAGTGGTGATGACAGTAGTGCGACTGACAACTTTACCAGGATGAGGACTTGCCGATGGCAAGCTCTTTCCAAAAGCCTAATGTCTAATGAAGCAAGCTAAATTACACATGTTGTTTGCTTAGCTAGCTAGCTACATCCCAAATGGATAGGCTACCCTCACGTATCTGAAAATACATGATAAATTGATGTTTACTGATCAGGAAAAGCATGCAGTTACTTGCTGTATAACTCTGATGATAGAGCTAAATGTGGAATATTCGGAAATGTGTAGTTCTGACTATACTCTTCTTCAAGGTGATGATATTAAAACCAAATAGTTATAACATTTATTTAACAATCCCTTGAAAACGGTACGTTTACGTTTGTGAGATCACAGAGGAGAATAATCACTAAATTGCTATAATGGATGGGAATACCGTAAGAAATCCATTAGCAAAGTATCACAGGAAATGTATTGCCACAAGCAATGTTTCATTCCATGGATTCATTCTGCTCTGGTTATTTGAGTCCCTCAATCAAATATTTATGTCAAGGAATATCCTGCCCCATTCACTCAGGAGGATCATAAAAGCTACAGTGTCCCTTGAGTGGGGCACACACTGTATTTAGACTTCTGCCAGCACGTCATGCCACTAAGTGATACAGTTGAAGTCAGAAGTTTACATACACTTAGCTTGGAGTCATTACAACTTGTTTTTCAACCACTCTACAAATGTATTGTTAACAAACTATAGTTTTGGCAAGTCGATTAGGACATCTACTTTGTGCATGACACAAGTAATATTTCCAACAATTGTTTACAGACAGATTATTTCACTTATAATTCACTGTATCACAATTCCAGTGGGTCAGAAGTGTACATACACTAAGTTGACGGTGCCTTTAAACAGCTTGGAAAATTCCAAAAAATGATGTCATGGCTTTAGAAGCTTTTGATAGGCTAATTGACATAATTTGAGTCAATTGGAGGTGTACCTGTGGATGTATTTCAAGGCCTACCTTCAAACTCAGTGCCTCTTTGCTTGACATCATGGGAAAATCAAAAGAAATCAGCCAAGACCTCAGAAAAAAATGGTAGACCTCCACAAGTCAGGTTAATCCTTGGGAGCAATTTCCAAATGCCTAAAGGTACCACATTCATCTGTACAAACAATAGTAAGCTAGTATAAACACCATGGGACCACGCAGCCGTCATACCGCTCAGGAAGGAGATGCGTTCTGTCTCCTAGAGATGAACATACTTTTGTGTGAAAAATGCAAATCAATCCCAGAACAACAGCAAAGGGCCTTGTGAAGATGCTGGAGGAAATAGGTACACAAGTATCTATATCCACAGTAAAACGAGGCCTATATTGACATAACCTGAAAGGCCGCTCAGCAAGCCACTGCTCCAAAACTGCCATAAAAAAGCCAGACTATGCTTTGCAACTGCACATGAGGACAAAGATTGTACTTTTTGGAGAAATGTCCTCTGGTCTGATGAAACAAAAATAGAACTGTTTGGCCATAATGACCATCGTTATGTTTGGAGGAAAAAGGGGAAGGCTTGCAGGCTGAAGAACACTATCCCAACCGTGAAGCACGGGGGTGGCAGCATCATGCTGTGGGGGTGCTTTGCTGCAGGAGGGACTGGTGCACTTCACAAAATAGATGGCATCATGAGGAAGGAAAATTATGTGGATATATTGAAGCAACATCTCAAGACATCAGTCAGGAAGTTAAAGCTTGGTCGCAAATGGGTCTTCCAAATGGACAATGACCCCAAGCATACTTCCAAAGTTGTGGCAAAATGGCTTAAGGACAACAAAGTCAAGGTATTGGAGTGGCCATCACAAAGCTCTGACCTCAATCCTATACAACATTTGTGGGCAGAACTGAAAAAGCGCATGCGAGCAAGGAGGCCTACAAACCTGACTCAGTTACACCAGCTCTGTCAGGAGGAATAGGCCAAAATTCACCCAATTTATTGTGGGAAGCTTGTGGAAGGCTACCCGAAACGTTTGACCCAAGTTAAACAATTTAAAGGCAATGCTACCAAATACTAATTGAGTGTATGTAAACTTCTGACCCACTGGAAATGTGATGAAAGAAATAAAAGCTGAAATAAATCATTCTCTCTACTATTATTCTGACATTTCACATTCTTAAAATAAAGTGGTGATCCTAACTGACCTAAGACAGGGAATCTTTACTAGGATTAAATGTCAGGAATTGTGAAAAAAGTTTAAATGTATTTGGCTAAGGTGTATGTAAACTTACGACTTCAACTGTACATTCAGTGTTCAGAGAGCATTATCGGATTATGTGTTAGGGGTTATTGGATCCACAAGTAGGTGCTTATGTCCATAGTTGTTCAGAGATCATAAATCAATTACTCATTAGGACTGTGACACGTGCATGGAGTCTGCATATGTAAAGAAGACAGAGACTCGAATCCATAACTCGATATCAGCCCATGTAACTTCAATTTGTTTGCCCTTTGATGTCTTTGAAACTTTTGTTATTTGCACGGATATCAAGTTTGGATTCAGCTCTAAGAGATTCATTGCCAAGCAAATGCCTTGTGAATGCTTTGTATTTGCTTCAAGGATGCATCGTCAATGTTTTATGAATTGATGGGGAATGCCTCAAATGTTTTCTACAGGGTTCTGGAGGTATAGTGTTTTACAGTTGCACCTGAGAATGTGTTATTATAAAGGGTCCATGAATGCCGTACGAAGGCTCTATGAAGGTTAAATGAACACGCTAATCCCCAGATCAATGAGAACGAGGAATACCACAAGTGTATGAACAAGGATAGCCTGATGCATGCCCCGGAGTTTGTGATTAAACCTCGCTCCCACACGGTGTGGGAGAAGCAGTGTGTGAGGCTGCACTGCACCGTCTCTGGATGGCCTGACCCACGGGTTGTCTGGTGAGTACTGCACACACACAACACACGCACACACACACACCACCCTGGATACACCTTGACATGACCAACTGATCACTAACACAATACACACCAAATCAATCCCTTATGGCTAGAGCACCAGCAATTATTGCCCTCTTAATCCTATCGTCATGTCATTGCACTAAAACACCATAGAACCCACTATACATACTTCTCTGGTGTCTACCTATCTTCTCTTTCTGGTCTCCATCCTGATTCTGATCTGTACTTTAAACTCTATTTTCCTTCTTTTCATCTTCTCTCCTCCTGTCCTTGTTCCACAACAAGGTACAAAAACAATGTGACAATCGATCCAATGGCCCACCCGGGCAAGTATAAGCTACAGAGCAGCTACAACGTGCATTCGCTGGAGATCGACAGGTAGGCACAACCCCAAAGCCACAGGGTCTTTCAGTATGTATCAATCGATTACATGGACAGGTGGGCCCTGATCCTAGATCAGCATTCATACTCTAAGGGTGCTTTCACACTTGGTTCCTTTCAGCCAATTGTTGTGTACTGAGTGCGGTTTGCTTAAATGTATGTGCAGTGTGGATGCTCCAAAGGAACTCAGATTCCTCAAAAGAGCCCCAAAGTGAACCGAACTGAGACCATCTCTAGAGGTGGTCTGTGGTTCGGTTCACTTGAAGTCTGTGGTTCGGTTCCCTTTTTTCAGGGGAATGTGAACACAAAGCTCACCAGGTCCACTTATAATTATTCCCACACCAAGCACTAGGTTACTGCAATACCGTTTCCCCTGCTATAGCCCCTCACGTTAATGCCAAAAACAAATGTGCAGGTTGGCGGTACAATTTGGAGTACACAATTCTCAATTAAAGCATTATTTAATTTGCAATTATTCTTCTGCCATTTATCCTGTTACCAGTCAATTTTACATGTAAATATAGAATTTTGATTATAATTTGTATGTCTTCTTTTTTAACTAAATGCAAACTATTAGCTTCCACAAAATGTATGTAGGTAGATCCTTGGCTGTCCGATAACAGGTTCTGATGGTATAGCTTGTCCTGCACTGTTTATTTACCCAGAGTACATTGAGTGAATGTTGGAAAAATATCTTGTTTCCTTTCTAAACATAGCAATGTGAATGCAAACAGGTCTCGGACCACAAAATATGTGAAGTTAACTAGCAAAAGAGTCCTCATTAAAAGGCAAGGGCAGTGTGAATACAAAGAGAACTGAGTTATTTTGCATTTTTTCTTTTACCCAAGAGTTCACTTTAAAGAGGACTGAGATCGGTTCTTTTAAAGAAGAATATATGTGAAAACACCTTGACACTTCATACATACGGACCAGGTCTTCTCTCTGTGGTGGCTCATTGCTGTGAATTAACATATACTATCAAACAACACAGTCATCGCTGGCCATGGTATAATGTCATTATGATGTCACCACCACGTCCCTTTAACACCCCTTCATGGTGTAATACAATCGCCGCTCTCAGGAAAGGTCGTGTTAGGCCAGCGTGTGTGGGCAGACTGACAACCCTGGGAATGTTTGGATGAGCTCACACTGTGAACTTGAGGGACAGTGGATTACAGTTACAGAAATGTGATTTCAAATGTGTGAAATCAATACCCCTCTCTGACTCACGCTGTATCTATCGGTCGGTCGGTCGGTCCGTCCGTCTGCCTGTCTGTCCATCTGTCAGTGCCCTGAGCTCTGTTAGGTATAGAAAGCTGTTGGTGAAGGCTATACATGATCCGGGCCATTTCGCAGCTTGCCTTTCGATAACAAAGATAACTAAAGATAAATTATCTGGAGATAGAGGGCCGATGTTGTATTTTAAGCCATTTCACAAAGGACTAAACACTTAAGTGTCTCGAGCTGTTTCAGACAGAACAGCTTTTTAAGTTCTCTCATAGACTCAAACTCAACCACGCATGTTGTATGTACTAAGCAGTATAGCTAATCAGCCATGGAAAGTTAGATAGCATGTTTCCATGAGAGAATCTAACCACACATAACTTTCATACAGAAATCCATACCACCTGACACATTATGACATCATCACAGTGTCTATTTATTCCCAGAGTATTCCCGGCCTGGAGTTCTGGAGCATTTTACAGTCCCAGCTCACATAGCTGTGTGTTGATTTACATGGCTGAGCGGGGGAGGGGTGAGGGTATTTATGTACACGTGAACCATTAGGAGAGAGAAACGTGTGTATACGAGACATTGATTCACCTGGTCTTCTCTCTCTCTTCTCATTTCAGATGTGATTTTGATGATACTGCACAGTATCGTGTTTCTGCCATGAACAGCAAGGGAGAGCTCTCTACCTTTGCCTCCATCGTTGTTAAGAGTATGTTTATAAAATATAGTTCTCAAAGTCTGGTGCCTCCACAATGAACTAGACAATAATCCCCAATATCACCCCATTACTTGGGTGGAGGCACAACGATTAACCTATTTTACAGTCTTTCTTAGTGCTGCTTTCACTTGGTCCAGTTTCAAGTCTCCTCTGTGTAAAATGATCACATATGTTTCTGTTGACTACAACACAGTAATAACATGTTAATAATAAGTACTTATGTGTTCATTCTACTCTAGGATTCAAAGGAGAGGTAGAGGAGGCTCTCCCAATGCCCAGACGTAAGTCAGAGGAATATAATTTCATTGGAAAAATATACTCATTACTCAATACTCATAACATCAAATACTTTATTCATAACCATCCATATGTATTTATGGATGTGGGCATACCACCTTACTAAACAGTATTAACATAACCTATTCACATTATGCTAAACTGGAACACTGTGGTGAGTTGAGGAGGGAGGTGGTGGGGGGGACCTGGGGATGCTATGGGTGCTATTGCACTAACAGCTTTTTTGTTCCCTTGACGCTGGGCGCAGCAAAGTCAACAGACAGCGAAGGTTACGGGGTCACTAAAGCTCTGCTCTGGTTTGATTACGTTTTGGTCAACTTGGTGCATTCACTGAGTGTCACTCAATGTGTATGCATGATCACTATTATGTGTATCTGTTTGGAAAGATCCTGTGATAATACCTTCGTAATAATCTTTCAGTTGCCTGGGAAAGACCCACAGATGGTTCAGCATGACAAACGTGGCTCTTTTTTTGTCGTAAACAACAGAATACTTGAACATTTTGGCAAGTATGGGTTTTTTGAAATTGTATGCAAGTCATAAAGCCTTGGAAGTTAAATACTGTAAACTAGAGTGACATAGAGAATATATAAGTCATATAGAGAAATATACACTGTAGTTTACAACCTGGATCGTTGATTTGAGACTATAGATTACTGTACTTAATTGTTGTTGATTAGTCACATCCATAACCCTTTCTTAATTCATAAACAGGTCTTATTAGATTGTAAAATCGGACAGAAGTGGGATTGAAGTCTTCAACTCCTACTGGGTTTAATATGTAAAATGTGCATCACTGTCTACTGCATGATGTGCCCCCCAGTTTCCCCAGTGCTGTTTGTAGTGACTCTTTGGTGTCTGAACACTGTACTTAATGATGTTAATGGTGTTTTTGTGTTGTCCTTCCGGTACATTGTCTCCCTGTACACGCCTCTGTCTGTTTGAAGAGCTTTGCCGAAGTCTGTGTGGGGTTATTTTTATGTCACTTGCTCTTGGGAGGGGAGGGGTAAAATGTAATGCTACTGGATAATGTTTAGTTACATCATCAATCATTCCAAAGTGTCTAAAATGTATTTTGTAGCTCAATAAAGTTACTATAAAATGGACATGAAATGTGAACACGAGAAAATGCTACTGGCCAGTGTTTCCCAACTCTAGTCAGTACCCCAACAGTACATAATTTTGTTATAGTCCCGGACAAGCACACCTGATTCAATTTGTCAACTAATTATCAAGCCCTCAATGAGTTGAATTAGGTGTGTTTGTCCGGGGTTACAACACAAATGTGTCCTGTTGGTGGTACTCGTGGATTGGAGTTGGGAAACACTGCTATAGGGGATACTGACTTTGGTTTTTGGACAGAAATGCAAATAAGTTAGCATTTGGAGACAGTGGCCAGGTAAACAAAACCAAAGCATGGCTTTGCTGTCTTGCCTTTTCCATAGACAGTTTACAGGGAAGGAAACCAACGTGTTAATTTGTAATTTGGGTGAACTATCCCTTTAAGGCCAGTTACTTGCTCTTTGTTCGTCCATCTCTTTGATTTGAATAATAATGCACACAGGTGTCTGAAGTTGAGGTGTGTCACACAACGCACACTGTTGCATGATGGGAACACAATAGCAACCTGACCTCTAACCCCATGTTACTTGATGCGCCTTCCTGTCAGATGGCCTGGTCTCTGAGTATGGTATCACCTTCGAGACCCACATCGTGGACGGGTTTGGCGTGTCGTTCGGGCGGGAGGGCGAGACCATGAGCCTGGGCGCCATGGTCATCATCTCCCCCAACCTGGCACGCTACCAGCCCGAGGTGCAGTGGTACAGAGACGGTAGGTGAAGCCCCAGAGCTCTGGGAACTCTTGGCTGAGGTTTAGTAGGTTACGTGGACAGGGAAGATCTGATCCTAGATCAGCATACCTATTCTGAGCTGCTTGATACATACATACACCCCTGGGCTATGGGATTTATTTAAGATACTTCTTGATGAGGAAGGGCTCTGACGACATTAGGGCAGATCTGATGATGATGTCCAGCCATTATAACCTTATCTCTCTCCTTCAGATGTTCTTCTGCAGCCCTCCAAGTGGTGTCACATGCACTGGAGTGGAGACAAGGCCACGTTGACCCTGACACACCTGAACAAGGAGGACGAGGGGCTCTACACCCTGCGCATCACCACCAAGACTAAATATGAGACATATTCTGCTTACGTCTTTGTCAGAGGTGGGGACCTTACCATGAGCAATACTGAACACCACTGCTCTCTGTCACATTATCACTCCTCCTCAGTCCATTACATGCCTTGTTTACTGATTCACAAGTTTAACTGATGTTATTTTTCACATTCACAGTGTGTGTGTGCGTATGTGTGTGTGTGTGTGTGTGTGTATGTGCGCGTGTGTGTGTGTTTGAGTGCAGACAGTATGGCCACTTGTTTACCCCCTCTCTGTTTCCATTGACCTGTCTCATGTTCTATATGGAGTGTGATTAACAGTTTATCAAGGTCAAAGTCACACAGAGACCTCAACTGACACCAGATAACAATGTTATCATGGCCCATCTGTTTGTTTGTGTGTGTGTGTTCTTAAATATAAATGGCAGTTGAACCATAGCAGTCTCTGGTTACCTCCACACACAATGGAACCCATGCATTATGACCATAGTAGAGTCAATCAACTCCTGTCACAATCTCTGGCCTGGTTCTGTATAACATGGAAATAATGATGCACACAGACACAGCCAACTTATTCATTAAGGTACACTCTTAGAAAAGAAGGCTCTATTTAGAACCTTAAATGGTTCTTTGGCTGTCCCCATAGGAGAACCATTTCAAGAACCCTTTTTGGTTCCAGGTAGAACCATTTTGGGTTCCATGTAGAACAGTGGAGGCTTCTGAGGGGAGGATGGCTCATAATAATGGCTGAAACGGAGCGAATGGAATTGCAAACATGGAACAGGGAAACCATGTGTTTGACATATTTGATACCATTCCACCCATTCCGCTCCAGCCATTACCACAAGCCCGTCCTCCCCAATTGAGGTGCGACCAACCTCCTGTGATGTAGAACCCTTTCTACAGAGGGTTCTACATGGAACATTTGACTGGCAATGTGTGTGTTCCTGTATCAGATGCCGATGCGGAGGTGGAGGGAGCTCCTGGCGCCCCTCTGGATGTGAAGTGTCAGGACGCTAATAAGGATTACGTCATCGTGACCTGGAAGCAGCCGGCTGTGGACGGTGGCAACTCCATCCTGGGCTACTTTGTGGACAGGTCAGTACCATCACCCATCACTACATGCCAGTTCTGGTAGGGCCCCAAACCTTAAAGTTAGGTTTCACAGTGCCACCTGGATGAGAGACCAGTGGAGTCGAAGGGAAAATCCTTGGCTTATTATGACACAGCTAGGCAAAGGTTTCTCTCCTTTATAGCACCCCCTGTACTGGGGCGCCAGGTAGCTTAGTGGTTAAGAGCGTTGTCCCAGTAACCGAAAGGTCGCTGGTTCTAATCCCAGAGCCGACTAGGTGAAAAATCTGTCGATGTGCCCTTGAGCAAGGCACTTAACCCTAATTGCTCCTGTAAGTCCCTCTGGATAAGAGCGTCTGCTAAATGACTAAAATGTAAATGTATGCCATTCACTGCAGTTACAACTGCAAATAACCTATAAGAAGAGGGCCATAAGTTTTTCCTGATCATGTGACCTGACCTCTAAAAACCATGTGACCTTGTGAAATGACCTTGTAAGGGGCTATAACAGAGTTTCTCCCAATCTTACCAATAGGCCTAACTCTGGGCCTTATCAAGAAGCCCTTACCAAGTTTGTTATTGAATGGCTGATGGCATGAATTCTGTCTCTTTATGCCCTGTGTTCAGGTGTGAGGTTGGCACCACCCACTGGAGCCAGTGTAATGACACCCCCATCAAGTTTGCCCGTTTCCCCGTGACGGGGTTGGTGGAGGGGCGCTCCTACACCTTCCGTGTGCGTGCCGTCAACAAGTCTGGCATGAGCCGGCCATCCCGCGCCTCTGAGGTGGTGGCAGCTATGGATCCTGCCGACCGCGCACGTATGAGAGGTATGGTGGGCACCCCGATCTGGCATCTGCCCCTCCCTGTCTGTGTTCTCTCATATTGTCTTATGGTACTACTAAATTCTTATATTGTGAGTATGTACCTTTGTGATGTCTGATGGTTATAGTGTTATGCAATTATCCTCTTCCCATGGCCTTCAGGTACCTCTGCACCCTGGACCGGCCAGATCATTGTCACTGAGGAGGAGCCTGCAGGTGGGAAGGAAATGCTTTTGCACTATTCAATGATGATCAATACTCTGATGCGGCTATGGTTCTAAAAATACCTACAGTGTTCTTTGATTGGAAGGATAATGAAAGCTTGAGTCTAGATCGATAGCCTGGTTGCCAGTCCGTTGCTCTTGCCAACTCCTTATGGAATTGTCATGTTTGGCTTAACATTGACAATGGAGCAGGCAAGAGCACAAACAGATCTGGGACCAGGCTACGAGATCAAACCCCTGATACATTTTCTTTCATATTACTTCCTATCAGAGGGTGTAGTCCCTGGCAGACCCAAAGAACTGGAGGTCACTGAGGCCACCAAGAACTATGTGGTTCTGAGCTGGAAACCCCCTGGAGAGAGAGGCCACGAGGGCATCATGTACTATGTGGAGAAGGTGAGAAATAAATACCTCATTAACATCAAATACCTGATCTGTAGCGTGATTCATCTGATCAATATAACATTTTATCACTGTTTCTCTTCCATAACAACCACCATATCAAAGTCATTCAATAAGTAATCATAATTCTGTTCTTTTTCATTTCAATCTCTATCTGAAAATAGAGTATTATATACTGTAGTACTGCAGGTTTGGAGGGTTGGTTTTTGTAGGGTTGGAGACATACTCTAACTGCTTTGCGTTGCATTGTGTACTAGTGTGTGTCCGGCACAGACAGCTGGCAGAGGGTGAACACAGAGATCCCAGTGAAGTCTCCTCGCTTCGCCCTGTTTGACCTGGCTGAAGGGAAGGCCTACAGCTTCCGTGTGCGTTGCTGCAACTCCGCTGGTGTGGGCGAGCCTTCAGAAGCCACCGAGGCCACCACTGTCGGGGACAAGCTGGGTGAGGGGTCACAGGTCACACTTCACACGCCACCTCCACAACCTCCAGCCCTGCAACACGAATACCTATGGACCGAATCCTAATATTCTATACAGTATGGGAAAAATTACAAAAATGTATCCACTCACTACTGTAAGTTGTTCTGGATAAGAGCATCTGCTAAATGACTAAAATGTAAAATATAAAATATACACATGTAACTCAAACCATCCTGTACATCCTACATTTAGATCAATGCATCTATACCTCAAGTTAGGATTCTGCCTAATGTGCAATCCCCTCCTTTATCAGTCTACTTGCGTTCTAGCAAACTATCTGCAGTGAAATCTAACTAAACATGCACTCATTCAAAATAGAATCCTAGTGCTTTCATTTGATCTTAGTTCAATAAACCTCTCCTGTCCCCAGATATCCCATCTGCCCCAGGCCGTGTGGTTCCCACCAGGAACACTGACACGTCCGTGGTGGTATCCTGGGAGGCTTCCAGGAATGCTAAGGAGCTGGTGGGATACTACATCGAGGCTAGCATCGTGGGCAGCAAAAAGTTTGAGCCCTGCAACAACAAGCCTGTCAAAGGCACCAGGTACAACGGTCCTCTCTGATGTTTCAATAGTTGTTTTACAGAAATGCTGACCATAAGTCAAATTTGGTGTTAAACCGTAAATGCTGTTGAGCTCAAGACGATTTCATCCACTCAAATGAAAATGTCCAAAAATGTATAAAAATAAAATGTCTTTCTCAAAGCGTTTGTGTCCTGGTACTCACAGGTTTATCTGCCACGGTCTGGTGACAGGAGAGAGCTACGTGTTCAGAGTGAAGGCACTGAACGCCGCTGGGCTCAGCGAGTGTTCTCAGGAGTCTGAGGCTATTGAGGTGAAGGCTGCTATTGGTGAGTGAGACAGAGGGTGTCATGGCACACCCACACAACAGGATAGGATGGGAAGTGTTTTTAGGAAGAATGTGAAGAGCCACAGGCCTATAAAAGGAACCTAATTGTTTTAATGTTTAGATTAAATACTATAAAGTAACCTACAGTAAGGTATCATGTTATGGTAGGACCAGGGAAGCCTCTTAGTTCTATGGAGATTTGATTATTGAGTCTTATGCATATTCTTTACTGTCGGTATATGTCGATGATGAAAAAAAGGCCATGTGTCCACACTGTGTTGTACCGTTGTATAATTTTTTTCTGTCCATCAAGACATCACGTTAGACTCTGTGTACCATCAGCATTAGACTCCTCCCACATGTTATTTTCCATGGTTCCACCAACCCACCCCCCTGTTGAGTCGCAACCTATCCCCACCCTCCCTGCACAACCTGAGGCCAGGCCAGGGTCAGGAGTTGTAGACGTCCTCTAATTTGGGTCAGTGCGATCCAACTCAGCGGTTGTTACAAACCAGCCCACCTTGGTTCCTCTGTCACGCGCTATCCATCCCCCCCAACCAACCACCCCCGCCCCTCACCTATCCTGGGCATGAGATGTGTCAGCCACCACCACCCCACCTGGTGTTAAAGGTACCCCCCCCCCTCCACCCAACCACCAATACCCCTGATCTGCACTGTGTATCTGCCCGTTCTACTCACTCTCATCTGGGAATAGTAGCACTTGTCCAGGGCATTAGTGCGTCTTGCGCCTTGCTAACATTGAGCCGCACTAATGCCCTGGAAGAGAGCTAGAGAACAGGAATACTAACCTGACAGGCCTGCTCCTTTACAGTTGTCCCATAATGTCAGTTTGCACTGTGACTAACCAGTCACTGGCAAGCTTTGTGCCGAGCAGCATGCTCTGTTCTCCCTTATGAAACACACTTAGTAACAAGGTCAATGGATTTCTGTCCACAGTCCATTACAACCAATAGCAGTTGGTAGACCTAGGGCCTAGACCCATTAGTGGTAGTGTCTTACACAATGAAATATAAACAACAACAGCCGACGATGCGGATGTCGATTAAGGCAGCCCCCCTCACTTCTCTGGTTGGGTTAAATGTGGAAGACACATTTCGGTTGAATGTATTCAGTTGTGCAACTGACTAGGTATCCCCTTTCCCTCCTCTATTAGTGAACATTTAGAATAGATTAGGAAATAATGCTGTACTTATGGCCATAGATCTCAACAATTTCCAATAGTTGTCTCCCATTGAGTGAACATATCAGTACATACACTTGATCAATTTAGCCCATGTAGAGCATATAATAAAATCCACTGGCACCTTTACTAAAGTATAGTGTGGCTTTTTCATGAAGGGTTGGCGCAAAGCCCACACACGCTCACTTTCTCCCCTCACATGCTCGTACTTTGTCTTTAACTCTGCAAATTGCTTCCTCACGCAGATGTCACTTGTTGGCCATCTTGTCTTCATTTTTCATAGTCTGTCCGATGAAGATATTGTACTGTATTTGATATGGTATTGGTAACATTTCTTGCTCTCTCTGCCTTACTCTGAGTGTTCTGACTTGTTCTGATTTGAGCTGTTTGTGAATGGTTGTTCTTCTCTTTGCCTGTGTAAAATGGCATTTGTTTTTCTCTGCTAACTCTTGTAGGGGGCGGTATTCCTTATGGTGTGTTGCCGGAGTGGGAGTTACCAATGGGTGGTAACGTGGGTGGACTAACCGAGCACACGCCACGCTGGACGGGCACGCATGAGGCCGTTCAGTACCCCCCTTACACTACGCTAAAGCGCAATGCTCAGACTGAAAGTGTGCCTGTGGCAGGGGCTAGGGCAGGGGCAGGGGGCCACTAGCTCAAGCCCCTCAGGCTCCTGGCAGTAAAGACAAGGGAGGCAGTGTGACCTGGGCCCCTGACCTGGTCACAGACTTGGTCATAGAGCCGGCCAAGACCACGGATGAGGTTAAAGAGCAGGCAAAGGTGTCTGTGGCCGGGCAAACACGTAAGTCCTCTGTAGATGCTTCAGCCAAACGGGGGACAGAGAAAGAATCAGCCCACAACGTGGGCTGGCCCAGGACAGACTCAGACCCAGGTGAGAACAGTGACATTTTAGTCATTTAGCAGACGCTTTTATCCAGAGCAACTTACTAGTAGTGAGTGCGTACATTTTTATACTGGTTCCCCATGGGAATCGAACCCACAACCCTGGTGTTACAAGCACCATGCTCTACCAACTGAGCGACACGGGACTATACTTAGTCAGGCCACTCCAACCCATATATCCTCAAATCCTCCAAAACAAAACAACTCTTTATTTCCCCCCCCAAAGGATTTGTGTTCCTTTTTTAAACTGTTTTTTTTCTACACTTTTTTTTCTGGAATTGTGAAACATTTTTTATCACTTTGGTAAGAAGGTAGAAAACTATTTTGAAAAAGGAATCTGCCACTGTAATATTAGTATAGTGATCAAATCAAATCAAATGTATTGGTCACATACACATGGTTAGCAGATGTTATTGCAAGTGTAGCGAAATGCTTGTGCTTCTAGTTCTGACAGTGCAGCAATATCTAGCAAGTAATATCTAACAGTTCTACAACAAAAACCTAATACACACAAATCTAAGTAAAGGAATGGAATAAGAATAACACTTTGAACGTATGTGGTTCTACTGTAATATTCACAGGTAAGTCATTAAAACACAATACAAGTTCAGTTTTTATCCGAAGGTACATTTCTATAACAGCTTTCTCAGGTTTAACTAAACAGTCACGCAGCCTTTCAGGCAATCTACTGGCCACCTCTAGCACAGGGCTGCTTCACACACACAGGGGGGCTTTTGGTCCCCCCTCCACACGTGTTCCGGCACTGTGCTGACCACCTCTCAACTTACTGTAGCCTGGCTGGCTCACACACAGTCACCTTGAGAGATCAGTGCACATTAACACACACAGACACCGTGACACAGCTGGAGCTAGCCTATCACGGCTTGTCTCTGAAGTGGGTCAGCCAATCACAAGCCAGAAATGGACACCTATGACCTGAGACCTTTTTGGTGGTGTACTTCCAAGTCAGATTCTTCGACATACCCCCTCCCCCAAATTATGGAGAACGCCATGTCCATGTGACTATTTGTGTGACAGGTCAATTTATTGTATGTAATGTTATCCAGTCAGCTGTGTGCACCCCCTCTATCGAAGACGACACCGAAGACCAGCCACTGAGATCATAGGTGTCCTCACAGCTCCTGTGGCTAAAATAGTTTGTCCCATGTCTGTTCAGTCCAGGTCTCTGAAATGTGTCCCCATAATTCTGTCAATGTATTATGACTTAGTGTCTGGTTGAACCATAGCTTAAGGTGAAAGGTTAAGGGTTAAAGGTGCAGACAGTAGTGTCTTATAGAAAGTATTGGTGACACAAACTGTATGGCATTAGCTGTTGTACCTTAATAATATTAACTAACATTTAAAAGAACTTTGAACCAGCCCACTGGTTGAATCAACGTTGTTTCATTTAAATTAAATTACGTGGAATAGACGTTGAATTGAAGTCTGTGCCCAGTCGAATGTTCAGAAATGTACAAGGGAATGATTGCCCAATACTTGCTCTAAGAAAACCGAATGTTAGCAGGTCTAAGTGATGGAAGACACAGCATGATGCTAACTGGAGTCCTCTGCTGTTCCAGCGTCCCCTACTCCACCCTATGGCATCAGCATTCTGGAGTGCGTGCGGGACTCTATGGTGTTGGCCTGGAAGCAACCCACCTTCATCGGAGGTGCTGACATCACCGGCTACTTCGTGGACTACCGTGAGGTCATCAATGGGGTGCCAGGGAAGTGGCACGAGGCCAACGTCAAGGCTGTCAGCGATCGAGCCTACCGAGTGAGTCAGCCGTTTTGTTTCTTTGGGATTTAGCTATCCTCTTTAACCTGAATTTTCAGCCACCTTTTGTCGTATCGGGAGAAAAGGGAGAATGATTTTTCACTGTCTGTCCAGGTGTCCGACTTGAAGGAGAACAGGAAGTACCAGTTCCAGGTGCGCGCTGCCAACATGGCAGGTGTGGGCATCCCGTCTCTGCCCAGTGAGACGTTTGTCTGTGAGGAGTGGACCATTGCTGTGCCAGGTGGGTAGTGCCACTAACATTCACTTGCAAACCTGAGCAAGTATGAGAATTACACTTTAACATATAACAATCAATTACACATCACAGTACAAGTTATACTGTGTGTGTCAAAAAAAGAAATAATATACTTTTATTATTGTGGTAATGGTCTGTTGAAGCATGCATGCACAGCAAAATTATTTATGTACATTGCATTGTCTATGAGTGTGTCCCAAATGGCAGCCCTATGGCCCCTGGTCAAAAGTAGTGCACTACAAAGGGAATAGGGTGCTATTTGGGACACTAGCCTATGTTATGTCATGTGTTCTTCAACTCTGAACCTAATTACCCCTAATTTTCCACAGGACCTCCCCATGATCTGCAGGTGACAGAGGTGCGCGCCAACACTCTGGTGTTGCTCTATAAGCCACCAGTGTACCAGGGCCGTGACCCAGTCAACGGATTCTACATTGACATTAAGGAGGCTGATGCTGAGGAGGAGGCCTGGAGAGGAGTCAATGAGAAGGCTGTCTCCACTAACTACATGAAGGTCAGGACCCTATCCACTCCTATCGCTCCAGGGTAAAGTTTCCCCTGTAACAGATCGAAGATCCGCTTCCCCCTCCCCCAATACTAACCTTAACCATTAGTGTTGAAAATGCTAAACTGACCCAGGATCAGTGTCTAGGGGCAACTACACCATTTCTATCCACTTAGTCAATCATACCATTGAGCAGACATTCTAATTCAGAATTTGAATCCAGATTGTGTGATGCAATATGGTGACATATTCTACTTGTAAATGGGATGTGATTGGTGGAGGTGTTTGTCATTTAGAGGGTGTGTCATGCGTGTAAAGGGATTTTCAACACTACTCAAATCACATTTTATTTGTCACATACACGTGTTTAGCAGATGTTATTGCGGCTGTAGCGAAATGCTTGTGCTTCTAGCTCCGACAGTGCAGTAATATCTAATCTGCTTTCCTATGTGAGAAAGTTTGTCTCCGTAGTAACATATTTGATGTATGTGACTAACATGTCTATAATGTGACTCTTTCTTCCATGAACAGATTAAGATTCTAAAGGAGGGGGAGACCTATGTGTTCCGTGTGCGTGCTCAGAATAAGGCAGGTGTAGGAAAGGCCTCTGAGCCCACAGAACCAGTCCTGGCCGAAATCAAACCAGGTAGGACCATGTTAAAGACCCCTCAACAGAGAAAGACATTGTTATACAAGTAAAGCCATACCTTTAATATTTGTGTATATTTGTGTATATTTGTGTGTTCTATGAGTCTCCAGCCATATTTGACTCTTGTTGTATTCTCTCTCAGGCACTACGGAGATTGTTGTGGACGTTGATGATGATGGAGTGATCTCCATGAACTTTGCCTGCTCAAACCTGACTCCAGACTCCAAATTTGTGTGGTCCAAGAACTACGAAGAGATCACTGATGAAACCCGCATTACTGTGGCAACCAGTGGGGAGAAGTGAGTGCGTGTGTGTGTCTGAGCGTGCGCGTGCGTGAAAGAATATAAGGTTAATGTTTCTACAGTAGCCTGTGTTAATTGTCTGCCCTCAGGTCCAAGGCCATCTTTAACATGCCTGCTGAGGATGACATCGGCATTTACTCTTGTGCTGTCACCCACACCAATGGCGATTCCTCCAGCTACACCCTCTCAGCAGAGGGTGAGTCCCATTGTGTGTCCGTGGTACTGTAGCACTGTCCACGTTACTGTGCTGACCACGCTATCACTTTGGAAGCTAACTTAGCAGGCTAAGAGGTTAGCAGAGCTCCATTGCTCCTGGTGTCATTTCTACTTTCTAATCTCTGATTAATCTTTGTGTCCTTTTTTGACAGAGTTGAAAAAACTGCTGGAGATGAGCCATGACCACAAATTCCCCAGTAAGTAACATATTATTACCGACGTTCCCCATTTTTTTCATTGTTTATTATTACATGCTCCTCCGTCCCTGCTCTCACGTACTGTTGCTCTCTCCTTCTTTTTCCCTCTCCAGTTATTCCCTTGAAGACCGAGCTGGCTGTGGAGCTGCAGGAGAAGGGCAGAGTTCGCTTCTGGCTGCAGGCTGAGAAGATCTCTGCTAATGGCAAAATACAATATGTGTTTAACGACAACACTCTCTCCCAGGGAGAGGTAAGTAGGCACACTTTGGGACTGAAATAAAAATACTCTCCGACATGCTTCTAAAAGAGGTCCTCTGACCTTAGACTTCTTGGATAAATAAATAAATAAATAAAATGAAACTACTGTAATTCATGTTCAGGTAAAGTATATTAGACAACACTGAAAAGGCTCTGTCTATGGCCTTTGCTTTTCAGAAATACAAGATGAACTTTAACAAGGACACAGGTGTGATTGAGATGACCATGGAGTCTCTGCTCCCAGAGGATGAGGGAACCTTCACCTTCCAGCTCCAGGATGGCAAAGCCACCAACCAGTCCAGCCTGGTGCTGATTGGAGAAGGTAGGATTAACTCCGCCCCTCCTTTTCTCCTCCTCCTATCACCTTCCATCATTCTCACGCTCTCCTCTTGCCTGAGTGCCAGTTAGTTAGTGCTATCATGCCAACTCCTTGTCACTCATTGTTATGCCTTGACAAGGACAGCAATGGAGTAGGCAATAGCACAGACAGATCTGGGACCAGTCTAACGCCCATCTGTTATAAAGAAAAAACAAGCCCCACTATGGCTCAGAAGTTAGATCTTAACATATTCCACTAGGGGGCAGTAAAAGATTACTAGGAACCATGAATGAATGAACCACATACAAATGTATGAAACATTTATTTGATTAGATAATATCCACGTCAATGTACAAAACACATCATAGATGAATGTGATTGTAGATAAAGTTTTGTTTCCTAATCAGGAATCGTGTGTTTTTCCAGTGTTCAAAGAGCTCCAAAAGGAGTCTGAGTTCATGTGCAAAGAATGGCACAGAAAGCAAGGTATGGGATTTTTATTTAATTAAGAAAATAGAATAGTGCTATGTTATGATACAATATTGGAGACTACTGAATAATTCCTGCTTTGTTTTTCTTTTGCAGGTCCTCATTTTGTTGAGTACTTGAGTTATGAAGTGACCACAGAATGCTGTGTTTTCCTGAAATGCAAGGTAGGAAAAGAATACACAAAGTGATGCATGTGTATGGGTTTTATGAAAATACTTTTTAGACCACTGTGCAGCTGAACAACATCTGGACAACAACCTGAACATTGTATCTCTCTTTCGCCTCCCGCAGGTTGGGAACATAAAGAAGGAGACTGTTGCACTGTGGTACAAGGATGGGCGTGAGGTCAAGGGAGATGAGAATCTCACCTTCACCGAGGGAGTGCTCAAACTGGAGATTGCTCAGGTGAGAGGAATTATAAAGTTGTTTCATGCACATCATACATTAGAAATTACAGCACTATAAGACCGTATTGCAGAACACCTGTCTTTAGAGTTTAGAGAGTATTGTTTTGCAGATTACTGTAGACTATATGAATTGCTTTTGTATACAGTATAGGCTAGATAAAGGTAGGAAAATATGATATATTACAATGGATTATACGGCACATGTATTAACATACTATATGTATTGACTGTTTTGTGATATGTTACACAAACATTATTATGTGCTGTTCATTTGCATACTGTATGTAACTATGAAACTGTATCATCATTGCACATCTCTGTTTATGTTCATATATGATAAATATATGTTCCTCACACATCATGGATACTATCTTCTGGCTACAAGATTAGTTGGTGGTAAATTGAGCATAAGGTGGTCTAAAGAGGTTGTGACCTTGTGAAAAGTTATCTTACAGTAATCTTAAAGAATGTCTTTATACAATAGCCTAATATCTCACTCTTAACTGAATTCATCAACATTTCTCTCATTTCCAGTCACAGCATCTAACCCAACCCTATGAGGGGCTAGCTATGTGTTTTATGGAGAATAATGCATGACGTGGAAGGTGAAGCATTATTTTCCAGAGAACGTATAGATCCCTGAGTTGATTATCCTGCTTATACCACGCTATAATGTAACACATTTGCTGCTAGAAATGTGTTCAACATCCACTGTAGCTAGCAATTTTACTAGATAGCTACAGTAGTTGCCTTGGTAACCAAACAAACAGACTTGCTAGTTTAGCTAACCAAACCATCAGTCCTTGCTATAGAGGGGTTGGCTAACAAAATCACTAAAATGATGCGTGCCTGCGCATCAATGAGGCAGAAAGCCATGTGGTGTTATGATTCTGAACTGTCAGATAGCTAGCAAAAATGACAATAAGTTGCTATGTGGGGAATCGTTGGTGGTTCGTTTCAGCTAGTTGTATCTTGTTATTGATACCATGTCGTGTTTTGACTCATGTCATGTCTATGCTAATAATATGGAAAAGATTCACTAGCTAGTTAACCAACAACCGTAACAATGTGCAAATGTATTTATGTTTTCAATAAACGTTTGGAGAAGAAATATAGTTTACATGTTGTCAACAATCTAAGCTAACCCCGTCAGAATTCAACAATATTACAATTATTGATCTTAACATCTTCAGATATCAGCGATTCTGACAGATTTTTGGGCAAATTCTTACCATACTTCAGTAAATAATTTAACATCTTTATATCTGGCACACCTGGCTCATTTGGTTGTGTATTCTACATCATAATGAACATTTTAAGATATTATTGGGCATACTACAATTATATTTCATACAGATATGGTCCAATAAGACCCCATTGAGATGTTTGGTGGCCATATTGGAAAAAGGCTTCTGTGGGGTTAATGCATGAATCCTGCAATGGCCATGTACCTACAAATCTGTGTGTGTGCAATTAGCTGCTTCTATCACCAAAGTTACAATCCATAAACATAGACTATATACTGAACAAAAATATAAATGCAACATGTAAAGTGTTGGTCCCATGTTTCATGAGCTGAAATAAAAGATCCCTGACATTTATTTATATTTTTTTTATTTCACCTTTATTTAACCAGGTAAGCCAGTTGAGAACAAGTTCTCATTTACAACTGCGACCTGACATTTTCCATACGCACAATTTTTTTTACATCCCTGTTAGTGAGCATTTCTCCTTTGCCAAGATAATCCATCCACCTGACAGGTGTGGCATATCAAAAAGCTGATTAAACAGCATGGTCATTACACATGTGCACCTTGTGCAGGGGACAATACAATGCACTCTAAAATGTGCAGTTTTGTCACACAACACAATGCCACAGATGTCTCAAGTTTCGAGGGAGCGTGCAATTGGCATGCTGACTGGAGGAATGTCCACCAGAGCTGTTGCCAGATAATTTAATGTTAATTTCTCTACCATAAGCCACCTTCAACGTCAATTTAGAGAATTTGGCTGTGCGGCTTCACAACCGTAGACCACGTGTAACCACGTCAGCCCAGGACCTCCACATCCGGCTTCTTCACCTGTGGGATCATCTGAGACCAGCCACCCTGACAGCTGATGAAACTGAGGTGTATTTCTGTCTGTAATAAAGCCCTTTTGTGGAGAAACACTAATTCTGATTGGCTGGGCCTATGCTCTCCCAGGCCCACCCATGGATGCGCCCCTGCCCATTTATGTGAAATTCATAGATTAGGGCCTAATGAATTTATTTCAAATGACTGGTTTCCTTATATGAACTGTAACTCAGTAAAATCGTTGAAATTGTTGCGTTTATATTTTGTTCAATGTACAGTACCAATCAAAAGTTTGGACACACCTACTCATTCAAGGGTTTTTCTTTCTTTTTACTATTTTCTACATTGTAGAATAATAGTGAAGACATCAAAACTATGAAATAACACATATGGAATCATGTAGTAACCAAAAACGTTTTAAACAAATCAAAATATATTTCAGATTCTTCAAATAGCCACCCTTTGCCTTGATGACAGCTTTGCACACTCTTGGCATTCTCTCAACCAGCTTCACCTGGAATGCTTTTCCAACAACTTTTCCGTCACGCTGCCGTCCGACTCATCCCAAACATCTCAATTGGGTTGAAGTCTGGGGATTGTGGAGGCCAGGTCAACTGATGCAGGACTCCATCACTCTCCTTCTTGGTAAAATAGCCCTTACACAGCCAAGAGGTGTGTTTTGGGTCATTGTCCTGTTGAAAAACCCACTAAGCCCAAACCAGATGGGATGGCATATCGCTGCAGAATGCTGTGGTAGCCGTGCTGGTTAAGTGTGCCTTGAATTCTAAATAAATCACACTGTCACCAGCAAAGCACCTCCACACCATAACACCTCCTCCTCCATTTTTTACGGAGGGAACTACACATGCGGAGATCATCCGTTCACCCACACTGCGTCTCACAAAGACACAGCGGTTTAAACCAAAAATCTCCAATTTGGACTCCAGACCAAAATACAAATTTCCACCGGTCTAATGTCCATTGCTCGTGTTTCTTGGCCCAAGCAGGTCTCTTCTTATTATTGGTGTCCTTTTAGTAGTGGTTTCTTTGCAGCAATTCGAACATGAAGGCCTGATTCACACAGTCCCCTCTGAACAGTTGATGTTGAGATGTGTCTGTGACTTGAACTCTGTGAAGCATTTATTTGGGCTGCAATTTCTGAGGCTGGTAACTCTAATGAACTTTTCCTCTGCAGCAGATATAACTCTGGGTCTTCCATTCCTGTGGCGGTCCTCATGAGAGCCAGTTTCATCATAGCGCTTGATGGTTTTTGTGACTGCACTTGGAAGAAACTTTCAAAGTTCTTGAAATGTTCCGTGTTGACTGACCTTCATGTCTTAAAGTAATGATGGACTATCGTTTCTCTTTGCTTATTTGAGCTGTTCTTGCCATAATATGGACTGGGTCTTTTACCAAATAGAGCTATCTATCTTGTCACAACACAACTGATCGTCTCAAACGCATTAAGAAGGAAAGGTTAACTTTTAAGAAGGCACACCTGTTAATTGAAATGCATTCCAGGTGACTACCTCATGAAGCTGGTTGAGAGAATGCCAAGAGTGTGCAAAGCTGTCATCAAGGCAAAGGGTAGCTATTTGAAGAATCTCAAATATAAAATATATTTTGATTTGTTTAACACTTTTTTGGTTACTACATGATTCCATATGTGTTATTTCATAGTTTTGATGTCTTCACTATTATTCTACAATGTAAAAAATAGTACAAATTAAGAAAAACCCTTGAATGAGTAGGTGTGTTCAAACTTTTGATTGGTAGTGTGTATATATATATATACACCTTACCTAAATACTTAAAATGTATTATACTACATTTCAACATTACAACACTATTCTCACAAAAAAAATCTCTCTAGCATACCATATTTCACAGATTTTTCTAATCTGTATTATAAAATCTGTTTTGTGTCTTTTATATCACATGTTCCTCTGTAGGCTAATTCACCAGTTTTTCACCCTACATCTGTCTCCATAGTCTTCATCTACATCCCTGTGTGTAGTCCAATGTGCGTGTCATCAAAAGTGGCACAGCGTGTGCATGTGTGACAAGTGTCGTGCCTTAGCCTTAGCATTGTTGAATGTAAACATGTCACGTCCTATTATAGCGTGATGCTCCCTCCTCCTGCAGCCTCATGCTCCTGCAGCCGTAGCGACATACCTAGTCTGCAGCCGTAGCGACATACCTAGACAATTCCCTCGAGGACCTTATCTGGAGAATACTCAAAGTTGGGATCAGTGTTATCTGTCAACATAAGTGATAATTCCGCCATCTTCTTGGTTTTTCTGTTTTGAGAATGTTTTTTTGCTTTTGCGTCCTATAAATGTGTGTCCTGCAGCACCCATAGCATAGCTTGTCTTTTCGCTTGAGATTTTAATTTTCTTCCTTTACAAAATGGCGGCTGTGCGTTTTTATATGTGTCTCTCAAACCTGGCCTTCTCTTATAGATCTCAAAGAAGGATGCCGGTGTCTATGAGATTGTTATGAAGGATGACAGAGGGAAGGACACATCTACGTTGAACCTGACAGAACAAGGTGACTAACCCCTCAAAGCCATACCTCATTGTGTGTACAGTAACGCCACAACAAGTCTACATCATTTTTACGAAGTTATGTCATTTCTGTTCTCCAGGTTTCAGAGACTTGATGAATGAAGTGTTCAGTCATATCGGTAAGTACATATGTCTCACTGCAGTAGTAGAAGCATCATCTTAAGTTCTACTTGTGTTCAAAACATCCCTAAAGTATCCCGCTGTAATGTTGCACTGTGTAACTTCTTCTCTGTAATGTTGCACTGTGTAACGTCTCTGTAACCTCCGCTAGCCAACTCCTCCACTGCACTGAAGATCCAGAGCACAGAGGAGGGCATCAGACTGTACTCCTTTGTCAGCTACTACAACGAAGCACTCCAGGTCACCTGGCACCACAAGTGTGTACTGCCCTTACTTCCGTGTGTTTATGTTTGTGTGTGTCAGTGGAGGCTGGTGGGAGGAGCTATAGGAGGACGGGCTCATTGTAATGGCTGGAATGGAATAATTGAGACCGAGTCAAACGCGGTTCCCAAATGTTTGATGTGTTTGATACCGTTCCATTTATTCCATTCCAGCCATTACAATGAGCCCTGACCATCTATAGCTCCTCCCACCAGCCTCTGGTGTGTGTGCGCATGTAGCACATGAAGACTTACTCCTCAGCCTGAAGTGTCCCCACTTGCACTGCAGAATAGCTAGCTTTTTGGTGGCGCCGACCTGGTAAGACGCTTTGGGAGGTCGGTCACGTGTGCTAGCAAGGCAGAGGTCTTGGGTTTCGAGGCTCGGTGTGAGGTGAATCAGGAGGAAACGGTACTCGCTAAGCAAGCAGCATGATGTCAGTTACAGATAATGCCATGACCCGGATCTGCAGTTGTCCTCAGCTCAACACTGGGGCCGCTGTGTTGTAAGTTTGGGGGGGCTGAATGTAGCGCATGGAGATGTTTGAAACTTACTCCTCAGCCTGAAGTGTCCCCACTTGCACTGCAGAATAGCTAGCTTTTCGGTGTCGCCCACTGGTAAGACGCTTCTGGAGGGCGGTCACGTGTGCAAGCAAGGCAGAGGTCCGGGGTTTGAGCCTTGGTGTGAGCCGAAGCAGTACTCGCTAAGCAAGCAGCGTTATGCGCGTGTCTGCATGTGTGAGTATGTTTGCAAGTAAATTTAACTGTCAGGTGTGTGTCGTCTGTTTGATGCAGCCTATATGTGTGTAAGTCAGTGATCTGTTTTCCTCTCTCGTAGGGATTCAGCGATAGCCTTCACAGATCGCATTAAGAGTGGTGTGGTGGGAGAGCAGCTGTGGCTACAGATCACAGAGCCCACAGAGAAAGACAAGGGCAAATACGCCATTGAGTTCCATGATGGGAAAGGCGGTCTGAAGAGGACTGTGGAGTTGGCCGGCCAGGGTGAGACTACATCTGCTTCCCAAATCGCACCCTATATTCCCTATATAGTGCTCTAATTTTGACAAGGGCCCGTAAGGCTCTGGTCAAAAGAAGTGCACTATGTTGGGAATAGGGTGTCATTTTGGATATGGCCTACATCTACATGTTTGAATTAGGCAGCTTCTCCCCTTCACTAATGCTTTGATAGGCTTACTAACCTCCTCTTTCTCTTGCAGCATTTGACGACGCATATGCTGAATTCCAGAGGCTCAAGTAAGTGACCTACAATTTGTGAATTTTTGTACATGGCAGATGTGTCAGTAAGTACTCTTTACACCTGTCCTTCTTTTCATCTAATTGCTATTTTTGGTGTTTCAGCCACTCTCTTTGTGCATGTATGTATGTATGTATGTATGTATGTATATATATGTATGTGTGTGTATATATATATATATATATATATATATATATATATATATATATATATATATATATATATATATATATATATATATATATATAAATACAACTCAGCAAAAAAAAGAAACGTCCCTTTTTCAGGACCCTGTCTTTCAAAGATAATTCGTAAAAATCCAAATAACTTCACAGATCTTCATTGTAAAGGGTTTAAACACTGTTTCCCATGTTTGTTCAATGAACCATAAACAATTAATGAATATTAAGACACTACCAGCTTACAGACGGTAGGCAATTAAGGTCACAGTTATGAAAACACTAAAGAGGCCTTTCTATTGACTCTGAAAAACACCTAAAGAAAGATGCCCAGGGTCCCTGCTCATCTGCGTGAACGTGCCTTAGGCATGCTGCAAGGAGGCAGGAGGACTGCAGATGTGGCCAGGGCAATAAATTGCAATGTCCGTACTGTGAGACGCCTAAGACAGCGCTATAGGGAGACAGGACGGACAGCTGATCATCCTCGCAGTGGCAGACCACGTGTAACAACACCTGCACATGATCGGTACATCCGAACATCACACTTGCGGGACAGGTACAGGATGGCAACAACAACTGCCCAAGTTACACCAGGAACGCACAATCCCTCCATCAGTGCTCAGACTGCAATAGGCTGACAGAGGCTGGACTGAGGGCTTGTGGGCCTGTTGTAAGGCAGGTCCTCACCAGACCTCACCGGCAACAACGTCGCCTATGGGCACAAACCCACTGTTGCTGGACCAGACAGGACTGGCAAAAAGTGCTCTTCACTGACAAGTCGCGGTTTTGTCTCACCAGGGGTGATGGTCGGATTCGTGTTTATCGTCAAAGGAATGAGCGTTACACCGAGGCCTGTACTCTGGAGCGGGATTGATTTGGAGGTGGAGGGTCCGTCATGGTCTGGGGCGGTGTGTCACAGCATCATCGGACTGAGCTTGTTGTCATTGCAGACAATCGCAACGCTGTGCGTTACAGGGAAGACATCCTCCTCCCTCGTGGTACCCTTCCTGCAGGCTCATCCTGACATGACCCTCCAGCATGACAATGCCACCAACCATAATGCTCGTTCTGTGCGTGATTTCCTGCAAGACAGGAATGTCAGTGTTCTGCCATGGCCAGTGAAGAGCCCGGATCTCAATCCCATTGAGCACGTCTGGGACCTGTTGGATCGGAGGGTGAAGGCTAGGGCCATTCCCCCCAGAAATGTCCGGGAACTTGCTTGGTGGAAGAGTGGGGTAACATCTCACAGCAAGAACTGGCAAATCTGGTGCAGTCCATGAGGAGGAGATGCACTGCAGTACTTAATGCAGCTGGTGGCCACACCAGATACTGACTGTTACTTTTGATTTTGACCCCCCCTTTGTTCAGGGACACATTATTCCATTTCTGTTAGTCAGCTTGTTCAGTTTATGTTTCAGTTGTTGAATCTTGTTATGTTCATACAAATATTTACACGTTAAGTTTGCTGAAAATAAACGCAGTTGACAGTGAGAGGACGTTTCATTTTTTGCTGAGTATGTGTATATATATATATATATATATATATATATATATATATATATATATATATATATATATATATATACACACACACAGCTCTGAAAAAAATTAAGAGACCACTGCAAATTTTTCTTAAATCAGCATCTCTACATGTATGACAGCCATTCCATTCCAGTGTCTGTTGAATTCCAACACAGGCACACCTCATTCTACTGAATTAGGTACTGATTAGGTGATCACCTGAAAAGTATAAAAACCACTGCTGTGGTCATCACTATCCTCTTGCAATAGGACCAGCTGGATGGCAAAAACAGTGCTAATAGTATCTCAAAAGTAATATTAATCAAAAAATAACTATTGACCATGTCAAAAGAGTTGAAAAGGAAAGTTTTGAGTGAGGAAAAGAAGGGTTCAATTCTGGCTTTACTGGCAGAGGGATACAGTGAGCGTCAGGTTGCTTCCATCCTTAAAATTTCAAAGACGGCGGTTCATAAGAACAAGGTCAAGCAGCAGACATTGGGGACAACAAAGCTACAGACCGGCAGAGGGCGAAAACAACTCTCTACTGACCGGGATGACCGCCAACTCATTTGAATGTCACTCAACAACCGTAGGATGACATCAAGTGACCTACAAAAAGAACGGCAAACGGCAGCTGGGGTAAAGTGCACGGCGAGGACGGTTCGAAAGAGGCTCCTAGGGGCAGGGCTGAAGTCGTGCAAAGCTAGAAAAAAGCCCTTCATCAATGAAAAGCAAAGGAAGCCAGGCTGAGGTTTGCAAAAGACCATAAGGATTGGACCATAGAGGACTGGAGTAAGGTCCAATTTTCAGCTTTGCCCAACACCTGGTCGTCTAATGGTTAGACGGAGACCTGGAGAGGCCTACAAGCCACAGTGTCTCGCACCCACTGTGAAATTTGGTGGAGGATCGGTGATGATCTGGGGGTGCTTCAGCAAGGCTGAAATCGGGCAGATTTGTCTTTGTGAAGGACGCATGAATCAAGCCACGTACAAGGTTGTCCTCGAAGAAAACTTGCTTCCTTTTGCTCTGACATTGTTCCCCAACTCTGAGGATTAGTTTTTCCAGCAGGACAATGTGCCATGCCACACAGCCAGGTCAATCAAGGTGTGGATGGAGGACCACCAGATCAAGACCCTGTCATGGCCAGCCCAATCTCCAGACCTGAACCCCATTGAAAACTTCTGGAATGTGATCAAGAGGAAGATGGATGGTCACAAGCCATCAAACAAAGCCGAGCTGCTTGAACTTTTGCACCAGGAGTGGCATAAAGTCACCCAACATCAATGTGAAAGACTGGTGGAGAGCATGCCAAGACGCATGAAAGCTGTGATTGAAAATCAGGGTTATTCCACCAAATATTGATTTCTGAACTCTTCCTAAGTTAAAACATTAGTATTGTGTTGTTTAAAAATGAACATGAACTTATTTTCTTTGCATTATTCGAGGTCTGACAACACTCCATATTTTTGGTTATTTTGACCAGTTGTCATTTTCTGCAAATAAATGCTCTAAATGACAATATTTTTATTTGGAATTTGGGAGAAATGTTGTCAGTAGTTTATAGAATAAAACAAAAATGTTAATTTCACCCAAACACATACCTATAAATAGTAAAACCAGATAAACTTATATTTTTGCAGTGATCTCTTAATTTCTTCCAGAGCTGTATATATAGCAGGCAGTCTTTGACAGGATTTGATGAAGGGAAGTGGGTAGACAGATGAATTCTATACTTAGACATGCTTCCTGGCTCCAAACACATTCTCTGCATTTGTTTCTCTTATCTTTGTTCTTCAATCTGTTCTGTTTCTTCCATTGTCAGAGCGGCCGCAATTGCAGAGAGAAGTAAGTTCTCACTCACTCACACCTCAACTTTTAAAAACGTTATTATAAGATGGGGTTGAGAGGGCTGCTCTCCGTATTTTAGTGGGTACTGATATTTTCAAACTGATCTGACGTCAGTGGCCTAATTTGGTGCTCTTTGTTTCAGATCGTGCTCGTGTGGCGGGAGGCCTGCCTGATGTTGTCACCATACAGGAGCTCAAGGTAACCATGTCTGGATGGATCTGTATCTGTCTATGTATGTCCACAGTCCCAAACTGGCCATGCAGGCTTGATAGTGAATGACACTACTACGGCTGCATCTGAAATAGTACCTGTAATAGGGATTTTCAAAGTGAATAAAAGAGCAGAGCAATCGCAGATAGACAATCAAAATCAATCTGGTTTAATACATGTTGCAACAGGGAGACACCTCCAGAACAGAAGCAAAGAAAATGTCTAACTGCCAGTATCACACAGCACCGAATGTTCTGTAAACACCAGCCTAAGAGGCTTGTAGGAAATCATAACATCAGCTGATACAGAATCACAGTGTCACAGATACATTATCAGTGTGTCCTCGAATCTAGTCTGGTGTCAAACTTTAACCATAACTTTCAACACTGGCAGACATTTGATACTGGCAGTTAAACAGGTCAAAGGTACTTAGTTACAACAGATAATGATAGACTAACAGGTGCAAACAGAGGTGTAAAGTAACGAATTACAACTACTGTCGTTACTGTAATTGAATAATCTCTAATATTAAGGAAGTCTCGAGGTTCTGCTCGCCTGAGTTAGAATACCTCATGGTAAGCTGTAGATTATACTATTTACAAAGAGTTTTCATCCATATTTTTCGTAGCTGTCTATTTACCACCACAAACCGATGCTGGCATTAAGACCGCACTCAACGAGCTGTACAGTGGGGAGAACAAGTATTTGATACACTGCCGATTTTTCAGGTTTTCCTACTTACAAAGCATGTAGAGGTCTGTAATTTTTATCATAGGTACACTTCATCTGTGAGAGACGGAATCTAAAACAAAAATCCAGAAAATCACATTATGATTTTTAAGTAATTAATTTGCATTTTATTGCATGACATAAGTATTTGATACATCAGAAAAGCAGAACTTAATATTTGGTACAGAAACCTTTGTTTGCAATTACAGAGATCACACGTTTCCTGTAGGTCTTGACCAGGTTTGCATACACTGCAGCAGGGATTTTGGCCCACTCCTCCATACAGACCTTCTCCAGATCCTTCAGGTTTCGGGGCTGTCGCTGGGCAATATGGACTTTCAGCTCCCTCCAAATATGTTCTATTGGGTTCAGGTCTGGAGACTGGCTAGGCCACTCCAGGACCTTGAGATGCTTCTTACGGAGCCACTCCTTAGTTGCCCTGGAAGACCCAGCCTCGACACATCTTCAATGCTCTTACTGAGGGAAGGAGGTTGTTGGCCAAGATCTCGCGATACATGGCCCCATCCATCCTCCCCTCAATACGGTGCAGTTGTCCTGTCCCCTTTGCAGAAAAGCATCCGCAAAGAATGATGTTTCCACCTCCATGCTTCGCGGTTGGGATGGTGTTCTTGGGGTTGTACTCATCCTTCTTCTTCCTCCAAACACGGCGAGTGGAGTTTAGACCAAAAAGCTCAATTTTTGTCTCATCAGACCACATGACCTTCTCCCATTCCTCCTCTGGATCATCCAGATGGTCATTGGCAAACTTCAGACGGGCCTGGACATGCGCTGGCTTGAGCAGGGGGACCTTGCGTGCGCTGCAGTATTTTAATCCATGACGGCGTAGTGTGTTACTAATGGTTTTCTTTGAGACTGTGGTCCCAGCTCTCTTCAGGTCATTGCCGTATAGTTCTGGGCTGATCCCTCACCTTCCTCATGATCATTGATGCCCCAAGAGGTGAGATCTTGCATGGAGCCCAAGACCGAGGGTGATTGACCGTCATTTTGAACTTCTTCCATTTTCTAATAATTGCGCCAACAGTTGTTGCCTTCTCACCAAGCTGCTTGCCTATTGTCCTGTAGCCCATCCCAGCCTTGTGCAGGTCTACAATTTTATCCCTGATGTCCTTACACAGCTCTCTGGTCTTGGCCATTGTGGAGAGGTTGGAGTCTGTTTGATTGAGTGTGTGGACAGGTGTATTTTATACAGGTAACGAGTTCAAACAGGTGCAGTTAATACAGGTAATGAGTGGAGAACAGGAGGGCTTCTTAAAGAAAAACTAACAGGTCTGTGAGAGCCGGAATTCTTACTAGTTGGTAGGTGATCAAATACTTATGTCATGCAATAAAATGCAAATTAATTACTTAAAAATCATACAATGTGATTTTCTGGATTTTTGTTTTAGATTCCGTCTCTCACAGTTGAAGTGTACCTATGATAAAAAATTACAGACCTCTACATGCTTTGTAAGTAGGAAAACCTGCAAAATCGGCAGTGTATCAAATACTTGTTCTCCCCACTGTATATAAGCAAACAAGAAAATGCTCATCCAGAGGCAGCACTCCTAGTGACCGATGATTTTACTGCAGGAAAACTGCTTTTCTACCGGCATGTCACCTGTGCAACTAGAGGCGGAATAAACTCCTTTACTCCAGACACATACAAAGCTCTCCCTCGCCCTCCATTTTGCAAATCTGACCATAACTCTATCCTCATGATTCCTGCTTACATTCAAAAACTCAAACAGGAAGTACCAGTGATGCGCTCAATATTGATGTGGTCCGATGAAGCGGATGCTAAGCTACAGGACTGTTTTGCTAGCACAGACTGGAATATGTTCCGGGACTCATCCGATGGCATTGAGGAGTTTACCACATCAGTCACCGGCTTCATTAATAAGTGCATCGACGATATCGTCCCCACAGTGTACATATACCAACCAGAAGCCATGGATTACAGGCAACATCCACACTGAGCTAAAGGCTAGAGCTGCCGCTTTGAAGGAGCACCCTCCGACGAACCATCAAACAGGCAAAGCATCAGTACAGGACTAAGATAGAATCCTACTACACCGGCTCTGACGCTCGTCGGATGTGGCAGGGCTTGCAAACTATGATGGATTACAAAGGGAAACCCAGCCGCGAACTGCCCAGTGACACAAGCCTACCAGATGAGGAAAATGTATTCTATGCTCGCTTCGAGGCAAGCAACACTCAACCATGCATGAGAGCACCAGCTGTTCTGGACAACTGTGTGATTACACTCGCCGTAGCCGATGAAAGTAAGACGGATTACCAGGACGCATTCTCGGAGCATGCACTGACCAGCTGGCAAGTGTCTTCACTGACATTTTCAACCTCTCCTTGACCCAGTCTGTAATACCTACATGTTTCAAGCAGACCACCATAGTCCCTGTGCCCAAGAACACTAAGGTAACCTGTCTAAATGACTATCACCTCGTAGCACACACATCTGTAGCAATGAAATGCTTTGAAAGGCTCCTCATGGCTCACATCAACACCATCATCCCAGACACCTTGAACCCACTCCAATTTGCATACCACCCCAACAGATCTACAGATGACACAATCTCCATTGCACTCCACACTGCCCTTTCCCACTTGGACAAAAGGAACACCTATGTGAGAATGATGTTCACTGACGACAGCTCAGCGTTCAACACCATAGTACCCTCTTAGCTCATCACTAAGCTAAGAACCCTGGGACTGAACACCTTTTTCTGCAACTGGATTCTGGACTTCCTGATGTGACGCCCCCAGATGGTGAGGGTAGGCAACAACACATCTGCCACGCTGACCCTCAACACGGGGGTCCCTCAGGGGTGCGTGCTTAGTCCCCTCCTGTACTCCCTGTTCACCCACGACTGTGTGGCCACGCACGACTCCAACACCATCATTTGCCAATGACACAACGGTGGTAGGCCTAATCACCGACGACGATGAGACAGCCTATAGGGTGGAGGTCAGAGACCTGGCTGTGTGGTGTTAGGACAGCAACATCTCCCTTAACATCAGCAAGACAAAGGAGCTGATCGTGGACTACAGGAAACGGAGGGCCAAGCACACCCCCATTCACATCGACGGGACTGTAGTGGAGCGAGTCGAGAGCCTGAAGTTCCTCGGTATCCACATCACTAAGGATCTATCATGGTCCAAACACACCACCACAGTCATGAAGAGGGCATGCCAACACTTCTTCCCCCCGAGGAGGCTGAAAAGATTTGGCATGCCCTCAGATCTTCAAAGTTCTACAACTGCACCATTGAGAGCATCTTGATTGGCTGCATCACTGCTTGGTATGGCAACTGCTTGGTTCTGCTTGGAACTCCCTGCCATCCAGGACCTCCATAACCAGGTGGTGTCAGAGGAAGGCCCTATAAATTGTCAAAAACTCCAGCCACCAAAGTCATAGGATGTTCTCTCTGCTACCGCACGGCAAGCGGTACCTATGCACCAAGTCTGGAACCAACAGGACCCTGAACAGCTTATACCCCCAAGCCATAAGACTGCTAAATAGTTTGTTAAATAGTTAGTCCGGGTAGCTATTTGGTTATCTGCATTGACCCTTTTTTCAGTAACTTTTTTGACTCTTCACAAATGCTGCTGCTGCTAATATTTACTATCCATCACTTTATTCCTAGTTATATATACATATCTACCTCAATTATCTCTTACCCCTGCATGTCGACTCGGTACTTGTATCCCTTGTATATAGCCAAGTTATCGTTACTCATTGCGAATCTATTTATTTTATTATTACATGTTTTACTTTTCAATTATTTCTCTATTTTCTTTCTCTCTGCATTTTTCTTTACAAAGCATTTTATTTAATTTTAGTACTTGTACTTTAAGTACATTTTCAAGTCAGTAATTTTACTTCTACTAAAATGTAATGTAAGTAACAGTACTTCTACTTGAGTAGGATATTTCAGTACTCTTTTTTTTTTACATGTCTTTTTAAAGTAATTTTTTTATGATTGACTTCTTATTGAGTAAAATTTCATTAAAGTAACAGGACTTCTAGTTGAGTAGGATATTTCAGTACTCTTTCCACCCCTTGGTGCAAAACTACTTTATTAAATATGTTACTTAAAGATACATGGTTAACTCCTGTTTCCATTCACCAAGGGAATGCATTGGTGTGCATCACCCCGCACATACAATCATGTTTATTACATATCAATCCATATCAAATACAGGAAAAGGATAACTCAAATAATTTTCCATTACAGTACCCTAGTATTCCCTACATAGTGCACTACTTTTGATCAGAGCTCTTGTCAAAAGTAATGCACTATAGAGGGAATAGGGTACCATTTCGGACGCACACTACTGTATATCTATGTGATCCATAGACCATAATGTGTGACACCGTCTCTCTCGCTCCCTCTCTCCCACCAGGCCCTGAACCTGACCTGTAACATTTCAGGCGACCCCGTGCCTGAGGTCGTCTGGCTGAAGAACGAGAGGGAGATTGTGTCGGATGACCACTACCTCATGAAGTTCGAGTCGGGCAAGTATGCCAGCTTCACCATCACCACGGTGAACACGACAGACTCGGGCAAGTACAGCATCCTGGTGAAGAACAAGTACGGCACAGAGAGCGCAGACTTCACCATAAGTGTCTTCAGCCCCGACAGCAAGAAATAAAGAAGAAAGAAAGAAGGCTGGCAAGAAATAAGGAAGACCTCAATCTTTGCGTAAATATCATGTATAAAAAACAGACCGAGTCCTGAGCATTGGTTTGAGATGGTTTTTATGGTAGTATAAACAGTATTTAAATCCAGTTTGAAAAGGTGTATCGTTTTAGTCAGCATGAAATGTCTAAAGGTTCAGAGAGAAATAATAGAAGAGCTGTTTCAGCATTTTATCTTTCTAAAGGTCGTTTCCTTTATCTTGACACAACGATGAGTTTAGTTATACATTCATAGCATTTCCACCATGTATTACAAATAAGGCTGTCAGAGTTAATCAGCTAACCTGAGTTAACATTTATTCATTTGAGTGCACACATTTATTTTTCACAACTAATCGCATTGTCTGAAAGCGTTCAAACTACACTGAAAACATCCAAAATACATCATCATCTATACAGCTAAAAACAACAGTGTGATGTGTAAACAAGTTGACATTTAGGTTCAAGGAAGTGTGCTTAATTAATCTAATTGATTTTGCTTACTGTTACTTTGGACAAAATCAAGACATCAATATTATTGTAATCCTTTTTGTAGAAAGAATCTTAAAATACAGCTCAATTTGAGCAAATTCTGAATTTGCGACTTAATCACAGCAAATCCTGGAATTAACTCGATTACATTTTTTTAAAATCGTTTGACAGCCCTAATTACAATATCCCACTGGGCACACACTGGCTGAATCAATGTTGTGTCCACGCCATTTCAATGAAATTAAGTTGAACCAACGTGTAATAGACATTGAATTGACGTCTGTGCCCAGTGGGATGTTGCTATAGCTAAAAAAGAAGAGGAATTGATGTACTAAAAAGGCACATACACATTTGTGTTAATTCAAATGAATTCAATGTAGTTATTTGTTCCATTTCATTCACTGTGTACTGATTGATGTCACCACCTATGTTACTCAGTAGTGTTATTACATCACTCCTTCTCTCACTGTAGTGATTATGACACCACTCCCTCTGATTATGACATCACCTCCCCTGACACTTAGTAGTGATTATGACAACACTTCCATTGTCACTATGTAGTGATTATGACATCACTACTTCTATCCCCTGTCTCACTAGAAGGACTAATAAAATGGAGCATGTATTTCCTCACCTCCTCTTCCTCTGTGTTTTGTTCCCACTCTATGGCACCCCACTCTTCACTCTCTGCTTCAGTCTCCTTTTCACTTGTCTGATATTGTCTGTTGGTCATCTAGTCTCCGAAGGCCAAGAAGGCCTCTATCAGGAAAATACAGTGCATTCGGAAAGTATTCAGACCCCTTGACTTTTTCCACATTTTGTTACGTTTCAGCCTTATTCTAAAATGGATTAAATCAAACATGTTCCTCATCAATCTACACACAATACCCCATAATGACTAAGCAAAAAAAGGTGTTTAGAAAATTGTTAATGTATAAGAATTAAATGGAAATATCACATTTACATAAGTATTCAGACCCTTTGCTATGAGACTCGAAATTGAGCTCAGGTGCATCATGTTTCCATTGATCATCCTTGAGATGTTTCTACAACTTGATTGGAGCCCAACTGTGGTAAATTCAATTGATTGGACATTATTTGGAAAGGCACACACCTGTCTACATACATGTCAGAGCAAAAACCAAGCCATGAGGTCGAAGGAATTGTTCGTAGAGCTCCGAGACAGGATTGTATCGAGGCACAGATCTGGGGAAGGATACCAAAAAATGTCTGCAGCGTTGAAGGTCCCCAAGAACACAGTGGCCTCCATCATTCTTAAATGGTAGAAGTTTGGAGCCACCAAGACTCTTCCTAGAGCTGGCCGCCCGGCCTAACTGAGCAATCGGGGGAGAAGGGCCTTGGTCAGGGAGATGATGAAGAACCCGATGGTCGCTCTGACAGAGTTCCAGAGTTCCTCTGTGGAGATGGGAAAACCTTCTAGAAGGACACCCATCTCTGCAGCACTCCACCAATCAGGCCTTTATGGTAGAGTGGCCAGACGGAAGCCACTCCTCAGTAAAAGGCACATGACAGCCTGCTTGGAGTTTGCCAAAAGGCACCTAAAGGACTCTCAGATCATGAGAAACAAGATTCTCTGGTCTGATGAAACCAAGATTGAACTCTTTGGCCTGAATGCCAAGCGTCACGTCTGGAGGAAACCTGGCACCATCCCTACGGTGAAGCATGGTGGTGGCAGCATCATGCTGTGCGGATGTTTTTCAGCGGCAGTGACTGGGAGACTAGTCAGGATCGAGGGAAAGCTGAACGGAGCAAAGTACAGAAAGATCCTTCATGAAAACCTGCTCCAGAGCGCTCAGGACCTCAGACTGGGGCGAAGGTTCACCTTCCAACAGGACAACTACCCTAAGCACACAGCCAAGACAACGCAGGAGTGGCTTCGGGACAAGCCTCTGAATGTCCTTGAGTGGCCCATTCAGAGCCCGGACTTTAACCCGATCGAACATCTCTGGAGAGACCTGAAAATAGCTGTGCAGCGATGCTCCCCATCCAACCTGACAGAGCTTGAGAGGATCTTCAGAGAAGAATGGGAGAAACTCCCCAAATACAGGTGTGCCAAGCTTGTAGCGTCATACCCAAGAAGACTTGAGGCTGTAATCACTGCCAAAGGTGCTTCAACAAAGTACTGAGTAAAGGGTCTGAATACTTATGTAAATGTGATATTTCCGTATTTTATTTTTAATACATTTGCAAAAAAATCTAAAAACCTATTTTTGCTTTGTCATTATGGGGTATTGTGTGTAGATTGAAAAGAAAAAAAACAATTTAATCCATTTTAGAATAAGGCTGTAACGTAACAATGTGGAAAAAGTCAAGGGGTCTGAATACTTTCCGAATGCACTGTATACTGCTATATAGGGTCTATGATATGATGTACAGTGCTCCAAGCCACCATGATAAAGGAAACAAACAACGTATCCGCAACTTACACACGACCACATTATGAGTGCTGAATGGAAAAAGTCTTAGTCATATGTTTAGTCTGTCTGTGCCACCATTTTAGAGTCATTGACCGGAAAATATGGATGGTAGAACCAGGGAATGTGATTGTAATGACATTAAAACAAATAAAGTGTTAAGTCACCAGAATATAATGAGAGCAGCCTGTCACATACCTCTAACATGTGGATGGACCAGGATGTGGGTTAGTCAGTATGAACCATATGTCTGAAACAAGCATACCAGGGCCCATATCCATAAAGGATCAGGTCCCACATGTTCATACAATCATAATCATTATAGTCTGAAAGGCTAAACAAACTGAGATGCTTTAAGAATACAGTCCCAGGTTCCAGTCACTTATCTTCTCTCTGTTGTATTCTTAAACTTTTTTCGCTGTATGCTTTTCTATGTGGTAGAAAAGGCTTCTCTCTGCTTTCATACATGAGCTAAAGTGTGTGTGTGTGTCCGTGCGTTAACCCTTTTCTATTTACCGGTTGGTTGTAACAGAAGGCAAAGGGGACTTGGGAGTGACCTCCTATTTGACTGATGCTGATGGTAACGTGATCATTGGTTCTAAAAGTAGAACTACCACTCCATCAGAGAGGAGGAAGTCAGTCACTGGGAAGAACATGCATAAGAGAGAGGGTGAGGAAACAACGGGTGCAAGAAAATACTTACCCTTATACCTCTAACACAAAATTATTTTAATGTGAATAAATGCTGATTTATTTAAACATTTAGTCCATAATGTTGCTTAATCAGTGGTTAGGCTTAGTTGGCCAAAAGTAGGCTACATGAAAAGTGCAATACAGTTAATATAACCATGTGTTAGTGTGGGTTTTCAGTGAATTTATGTAAATCATGAAGACCATCTGCATTTCCTGCTGTGCAGGAAAATTCTCAGCAACAAAAGTGATCAAATTAAGATCCTACATCTGTAAGTTGTCTAAAAAGGCCTTATATAATCTCAGAACCCAGAACTGGTATAACAATCTGTCACAAGAGACTAGGGCTTATCTCACTACAATGTGTCAGTTTAGTTCAACACCTTCAGAAGAAGTGGGGCGAGCCTCATCGTCATGTTTATCCTTTTAGAGGGTTGTGAAATCCAGGGATATTGGCAAAATGATTGACCTGTATATGTGTGTTCTTCCTAAAATTCTGTAATCCTGAAGCCTCCAGAGTAGGAGGGGCAGAAAGAGGAAAACAAGACTGAGAAGGAGGAAGAAAAGATGGTGGAGGACAAAACTGATGCTGTACCCACAACCACAGACAAGAAAGAGGCTGCCCTGGCTCTCTGCAAGCAGGAGACCCTGCAGCAACCCACTGCTACAGCAGATGAGGCAAAACCAGATGATGTCCCCACACAGACTAACAAGGGCAAAAAGGATCAAGAGGGGTAACAATCAGAAAGCTGGTTACATTAGTGAAATAGTTATTTTGGAGTTTGTGGTTTATACATCTTGCATGAATGTGTCTTTGAGCATCACTGAAACACCACTGGAATAACTTTTTCCCCCAACATCGTAATTCACTCATCCCTTTCCTTACAAGCAGGGATGATTTAAAGTACACTGAGGGGATGTCATTTCGTATTACAATGTAGGGCTATAACTCAAACATGTAGTTATAAACCTGTAGCCCAAAGGAAGGGCCACAAAAAAGGCATGTCTTCTGTGATTCACAGTAATACATTTCATAATCTTCAAATCTTTTAACATATACAGTGGGGGAAAAAAGTATTTAGTCAGCCACCAATTGTGCAAGTTCTCCCACTTAAAAAGATGAGAGATGCCTGTAATTTTCATCATAGGTACACGTCAAATATGACAGACAAATTGAGGAAAAAAAATCCTGAAAATCACATTGTAGGATTTTTTATGAATTTATTTGCAAATTATGGTGGAAAATAAGTATTTGGTCACCTACAAACAAGCAAGATTTCTGGCTCTCACAGACCTGTAACTTCTTCTTTAAGAGGCTCCTCTGTCCTCCCCTCGTTACCTGTATTAATGGCACCTGTTTGAACTTGTTATCAGTATAAAAGACACCTGTCCACAACCTCAAACAGTCACACTCCAAACTCCACTATGGCCAAGACCAAAGAGCTGTCAAAGGACACCAGAAACTAAATTGTAGACCTGCACCAGGCTGGGAAGACTGAATCTGCAATAGGTAAGCAGCTTGGTTTGAAGAAATCAACTGTGGGAGCAATTATTAGGAAATGGAAGACATACAACACCACTGATAATCTCCCTCGATCTGGGGCTCCACGCAAGATCTCACCCCGTGGGGTCAAAATGATCACAAGAACGGTGAGCAAAAATCCCAGAACCACACGGGGGGACCTAGTGAATGACCTGCAGAGAGCTGGGACCAAAGTAACAAAGCCTACCATCAGTAACACACTACGCCGCCAGGGACTCAAATCCTGCTGTGTCCCCCTGCTTAAGCCAGTACATGTCCAGGCCCGTCTGAAGTTTGCTAGAGTGCATTTGGATGATCCAGAAGAGGATTGGGAGAATGTCATATGGTCAGATGAAACCAAAATAGAACTTTTTGGTAAAAACTCAACTCGTCGTGTTTGGAGGACAAAGAATGCTGAGTTGCATCCAAAGAACACCATACCTACTGTGAAACATGGGGGTGGAAACATCATGCTTTGGGGCTGTTTTTCTACAAAGGGACCAGGACGACTGATCCGTGTAAAGGAAAGAATGAATGGGGCCATATATCGTGAGATTTTGAGTGAAAACCTCCTTCCATCAGCAAGGGCATTGAAGATGAAACGTGGCTGGGTCTTTCAGCATGACAACGATACCAAACACACCGCCCGGGCAACGAAGGAGTGGCTTCGTAAGAAGCATTTCAAGGTCCTGGAGTGGCCTAGCCAGTCTCCAGATCTCAACCCCATAGAAAATCTTTGGAGGGAGTTGAAAATCCGTGTTGCCCAGCGACAGCCCCAAAACATCACTGCTCTAGAGGAGATCTGCATGGAGGAATGGGCCAAAATACCAGCAACAGTGTGTGAAAACCTTGTGAAGACTTACAGAAAACGTTTGACCTGTGTCATTGCCAACAAAGGGTATATAACAAAGTATTGAGAAACTTTTGTTATTGACCAAATACTTATTTTCCACCATAATTTGCAAATAAATTCATTAAAAATCCTACAATGTGATTTTCTGGAATTTCTTTTCTCATTTTGTCTGTCATAGTTGACGTGTCCTATGATGAAAATTACAGGCCTCTCTCATCTTTTTAAGTGGGAGAACTTGCACAATTGGTGGCTGACTAAATACTTTTTTCCCCCACTGTAGTTGTGTTAGTGCATGCATTGTTTTTGGATTTAATGTTATTTTGATTTAATAAAATGCAGTATTAGGCCACTTCTCATTCCTTCTCATACAAGGTTCTCATGCACAGGCCTTAAATATAACCAAATTGAATCGTTTTTTCCCTGTATAGACACATATAATATGCCATTTAGCAGACGCTTTTATCCAAAGCGACTTACAGTCATGTGTGCATACATTTTTACGTATGGGTGGTCCCGGGGATCGAACCCACTACCCTGGCGTTACAAGCGCCATGCTCTACCAATTGACCTACAGAGGAACTGAACATATCATTCTTGTATCGTATCTACATACGTATCGGATCGTCCTGATATACTGTATAGCATTTTAGAATGAAAATTCTTCAAATGTATTTTATGTTTTAACATCAGCTATGCAAAAAACCAACTGTTACATGACATACAGTAACTTGTGTAACAGCCCACCAACACAATGCTGATCTGTGAAAAAAGCAAAAATAAGCCTTGGCAACATATTGTAAAAACAGTCCTGTTGATATTATCCTACCATGACAGTTATCAGTTATTCCACTGGTATGACAATATCACTAGCTAGCTATTACAGTTGTCACTCAGCAATAAAGTGAAATGCAGCACAGCCTAACAAAACTCTGGTAAGGAGAATACACCACTCTATTTTTTCTTTTTTTTCTTCTGCATTTGTAAGTGAGAGTGCACACAGACACAGATGCACACACAGAGAGGGGGTGGAAGTTTAAACAACATTTGGACCTGATCATGATTTTTCGCGCTTAAAACATGTTTGACTAACTAACTAATACAAATGGTGCAGTAATCAAATGTATCACGGCAGAAAAGTGTGTGCTGGCGCATCAACAGTAGATACATTTAGCCAACCCCATTCCCCTCTCTTAGCGCCATATTAAGCCCCTCTTACGAGCTAGTTAGCTAACTATGATAGTTGGATAACTACAGCAAGCTAGTTAGCTAGTTGGTAAAAGAGCTAGCTATGCTTTCCCACCTTGTTTACTAGCTAGGCAACTTAGCATTTGACTGCAGGTAACGTTAGCTGCTAGAGAAAAAATATTTGCTAACGTTAGCTAACTAGCTACATAACTAACGTTCGTTAGCTACAGGCGCACACACCAATGACTAGCTAAACACCAGTAGTAATTAACTAGCTACATTTGGCCAACTCATTGTCCTCATCTCCCCTTCTTAGTGGCTTATTAATGCCCCTTTCTCACGAACTATGATAGTTATATAGCTAGTTAACCCATGCAGCAAGTTAGATAGTTAGCAAATCACTTAGCTATACTTTCCCGCCTTGTAGCTAGCCAAAGATATTTAGCTACCCACTTCTGTCAGTGTTGTAACGTTAGCTAGCTACTTAGCTAGCTAGAAGCTGCACTCTAGAGAAAATAAAAAATAATAGTTTGCGACCTGAACAGATTACAAAATGTTTAGAAAATTATTCTGACAAATGTGAATGTACTGTCCCCACTCTCGCTTGTCCTCAACTTTTTGAAAGTCATTGCTGTGCTGTGCGGTTGCGAGAGGAGCAAATGGTGGGAATCGCTTGCTCAAAGTCTTTTGTCAACCCCCTAACACTTGCGCAGTAATAATCAACACTTCTTAATATTAAATAAATGGTTTGTGGTCAGTAAACCCATGGAATATGGTGTTAAGTAAATGTGTAGCTACTGTTAATAATTTTTATAAAAATCAAGTAGTGCATAACTATATCGTCCTTTTCATTGAAGATGTTTTTTGGGGAAAAGTATGTATTATTTTGTTGCAATATTTCCATAAACCATGTCCAATATTTGATCGGTAATAAAAAAAAAACCTTAATGTTGATGTTGGTCACATTACTGGTAACTAATGTCAGTTTGTCGTGCGTCACTGTACAGTTCCAACATACTCCAAAGGGTGGCAGCCTAGACCACAAAATAATGTTTTGCATTAAATAATGTTGTGGTTATGTACAATATAGCAGGATTGGGATTTTAGGGTACCATCTTTTGGATTATGTTGGGCCTGTACAGGTCAATTAGCTGCTGGACAACATTTCTACCTATTTAATTACACAAAAACAAATACATCCCCCCCAGTGACAACACTTCACAATTTTACACACATGTACATACTGTACCAGCATACAATCCTTTCTCCAACTAAATATCCACAATGTTTGTGAGTTATATTACACAGTAAAAGGATGTTAGTCCATCCATGCAGATTAGAAATGAAATGAAACAAAATGATACTGTAGGTAAAACATCCGAACTCTTTGTGCGTGTGTTGCGTTACTTAAAGTAAAACAAAGCTACTTACCGCCTATTTGACAGCTGTGCTGTCTATGACATCACTCTTTCCCAAGCGTGTTAGAATGCATGATCATGACAAAGATATAATATCTTGGGTCATTGTGCTCCTAAGCCAGGAATGTAGACTCTTAATGCTGCAGCTTCTAACTGGGATTGTCAGCGCGGCTTGAATGATTGCCTTCTGTGATGGGATCAGGGTCTAACAGTGTATACACTACCAGTCAAAGGTTTGGACACTGATCAGGGTCTAACAGTGTATAGACAAAGGACATTTCAGAAGTGGCATCTTTCTTTTTTTGATAGGTCATGTTTAGCAACAACTACTTCCTTTGGCTTGAGAGGAATATGATACATGTTTGTCTTGTGTGGGCCTCCCCTCTATCTCTATGTTCTCTCTCTGTCATGTCTGCTCCTTTCTCTCGCTCCCCTCTCTTCCTTGCTGTCTGAAGTTCTGCTTTCCTGGATCTCCAATATTATTACACAGACGGAATAGTATTAGTGCCGTAGCAATATAGAGTATTCTGAACACACACATACTCTCACACACACAAGCAATATGAACAACAGGCAAATAATATGTTTAGTTGAATTGAACTGAATGATATTAGCAGTTCACTCAATCTTAAACCTGATTAACATTTAGTCAACCTATCACTAACCAAAATACCTGTGTTCTCTCTCTTTCTCTATGTTCTCCTGTACGCTCCTTTGTCTCTATAGACAGGTTGGTTGTTTAGCAACAAAAACGACACGC